CGGGTAAAAAACAAGCTAAAGAGGTAAGATATCTATGTGCTAATTCCTTAAGTAATACCTACAGTACCTACTTATATCTAAAGTACATAGTCAAATAATTAACAAATAATAGGTATGGTGTCAGTGATATGCATTTCAATCACCCATTCCTATCCAAATGTTATTTTGACTAAAATGTAGGACTTTAATTTATTATTTGTTCCTTTGTTTTTAGTGCTTTGTTTTTATGAAGCAATTTTTAATATTTGTTAGAAATGATTTTATTTCCCACCTTTTATAAGCTAATAATAACCTAACACGAAATAAATTCCTACTGTTTGTAATTGAGAAGTTTGCTTTTATATATCCGAAAGTGTTTGGCATTCACCAAATGAATAATTGGGATTTGGGACGATATCGCCAAAAACTGATAGAAACAAAAAAAGATAAAAAATAGGTTACGCATCTCGGATTATAAAATAAATGAGTACAAAATCTTCACAAAACAGCCGAGGGGATAATTACAACCTCTGACCGAAACCGGAATTTATAACCGTAGGTACCTAGGAAATTTTCAAGGATGATTCATGTTAGACCGTTTCGGCCGTAGCAGAGTTAACGAATCATCATCATCATCATCATCATCATCATCATCATCAGCCTATTAATGTCTCCATTGCTGGGGCACAGGCCTTCCCTATGGATGGAATAGGGAGATTGGGCCATGACCCACCACGCGGGCTCAGTGCGGATTGGCGGGTGCTAACGACTGCAGATGCAGCCGGGAGAAACTCCAGATAGAAGATTTTTGGTCACCCATCCAATGACCGACCACTGCGAAAGTTGCTTAACTTCAACGATCGCAGCCGAACGCGCTGACTACCTGCGCCATCGAGCTCTTCTAGTCAACTAATAATTAATATTACATAGTATATTTTTTATGGATTATGGACACATTCACGCTATTCCGTGCGGTAACCCTCTGACAACCGAGCACCAAATGAAACAACGCTCGGAAAAAACGAAAAAACTTGGTCTCGCTTCGGCTCGGCCACTGCCCGTTGCATGAATACAGCGCCGGCGCGGTGCCGCCGGGCAATCGTAGTGATAGCTCAGACAAAACAAACGTTTTCCTCGGACGAGTACACTTACCGTGTTTACTTTATCTGAATGATAATACTGCATCACGGCGCAACGGTACCTACCTAATTGCTCGGTCGAGGTACGTCTTTGTAAATTACAAATTCGGGACCGGCTCGGTGACCGTGTTACGCGGCTGAAGCTCGGCTCAAACTCGACACGTTCTATCGTCACTAATCACCCTTAAAGATTTTTCGGTAGCTACCAAAATCTAGTCGGTACCTAGTTTTAAATTTAATTTTAAAAGTGGCGGCTTTCCCCCAGCCTTTTGCCAAAAAAAACTTAGGCATGCTCTAAGAAAAAATATGATTCTTAAAGTTCTCCCCGTAGATTTAATTTCTCCAAGTTCATATTTTTCCCCAAAATAACGATAAACACTCCCAATCTAGAAACTCTGAGTACCACAGAGTAGGCAAGTATTCACTCTTTAATATTATTCATAATCTCATACAATAAAATAACAAACATATGTTAAGTTTTCATATTTCAAAGATGATGAAGAACAACAAAGAATTACTGAAATAAGTCAAAATCACTGAATTATAAGTATTTATTGCTAATTTGAGTAAACCGATAATTACCGGTTCAATGCTTTTACATAATCTGTGAATTCAATTTAGATGCTCGATTACAGCTGTCACTTGTGATCTTAATTTAGTTAGTTCGCAATTTCGGAATACCAATTCACTAAACCTAAACTAAAATTAGCTCGCTAATTTTAAGTTAAGGTTTAGAGAATGTAACGCCAGAATTGGTCCCATTATTAATTTATTAACGTAATATAATCTATACCAATAATGAATTGGCTCAAAAATAACTGGACCGATTTTAAAAATTCTTTCACCATTTGAATGCTACATTATCACTAATTAATATAGGCTATAGTGTATTTTCAAAAAAGTAAGGGTTCCGTATGAAAACTTCGATAATGTAACTCAACGTGTTTATTAAATAGCCTTAAATCGCGTACACTGTGGAGGTAATTGACAATAGAGCAAAGTGATGTACTAAAGTTTTGAGGACACCAATGTCCACAAAAAAGTCCGCGATACCATGGTAGCTTTCCAATTACAGCATTATAGCGCACTATGCGGCATAATGCTTAACGTTGAGTGTTTCAAGTACAGCAAGTTTCGCACAATCGAGCTCTCTCAAAAGTAATGCTTTCGTGTGATGCGTGCAATCGTACCAACTCAGAGACAGAAAATTAACAAGTGTTTTTTCTTTAAGTTGGCATTGATCGAAATGTTTTAATTATATGTTATCGTTAGTAATACTATTTAATGTTGAAAAATTATTAAAACTTTCGTTTCATTATAGTTTTTTTTTAAATAATCAAAGTTAATTCAAACTGTGTTAAAAAAATAAATATAAATATGGATGAAGGTACAAACATTGACTTTTTTTTCAACACTGAACTTAGCGCACTCTGCTGGTGCATTTGAAAACTAATTCACGTTCCAATTAAGCATCAGCATAATTCGGCATTGATGTCGATTCTGACAGGATTCTTTAAACTTAAAACTAAATTTAACATCAGTCTGTCCTTTTCATTCTGTATAGAGAATGACAAAGATACACTGTTGTCAAATTTAAGTTTAGCTATAGAGAATCTTGCCAGAATCGACATCATCGTGCGCCACTGAGTCGCATTATGCTCTGTAATTGGAAAGCTACCCATATGTCTAACTATTACAGTTATTATTAAGTATACCACTTTTAGGGTACAGCCAGAGTGCATTCAGATTCAGATTCCGAAAACAAGCGCGAGAAATAAACGGTGTACTCGAAGGGTACGGCCAGAGTGCACTCCTGATTCAGATTCAGATTCAGACTCAGAAAACAAAGCGCGAGAAAAAGCAGGCAACCTGCTTAGACTACACTGTTTATTTCTCGCGCTTGTTTTCAGAATCTGAATCTGAATCTGAGTGCACTCTGGCCGCACCCTTATACATTTTATTTCTATGGCAACATATTACTTGCAGTGTTACCAGAAAGCCATTTCACTTTCCCCCCAAATCTTAACCGAAATCCCCCCAAAATACAGGTTTTTAAAGAAAAAACCCCCAACATGCAAAATGTTTACTAAAAAATACAATATTTACAAAATATGTATTTCTGCACGAATTACGACTTGACGCGACTTTTTACAGATCAAAAGTTTATGATGTGGTTTTATTTTTATATAAAAAATGTAATTAAAACCCCCCATTTCCCCCAAACCCAAATTTCTTCCCCCAAGCTCTCTCGTTTTTTTTACAGGTATTAATTTTAAATGCAAATGCAATGGAAATTTGATTCATACAGCCTGGTGGTAAAAATTAGATATTTAATGGTGTCGATTCTGGCAGGATTCTCTAAATTTAAAACTACATTTAAAATCATCATCGGTCTGTCCTTTTCATTCTGTATAAAGAATGACAAAGATAGGGTGCGGCCAGAGTGCACTCAGATTCAGATTCCGAAAACAAGCGCGAGAAATAAACAGTGTAGTCGAAGGGTACGGCCAGAGTGCACTCCTGATTAAGATTTCGAGTACACCGTTTATTTCTCGCGCTTGTTTTCGGAATCTGAATCTGAGTGCACTCTGGTCGCACCCTATTTCTCGCGCTTGTTTTCAGAATCTGAATCTGAATCTGAGTCGAAGGGTACGGGTGCGGCCAGAGTGCACTCAGATTCAGACTCAGATTCAGATTTCGAAAACAAGCGCGAGAAATAAACAGTGTAGTCTAAGCAGGTTGCTTGCTTTTTCTCGCGCTTTGTTTTCTGAGTCTGAATCTGAATCTAAATCAGGAGTGCAATCTGGCCGTACCCTTCGACTACACTGTTTATTTCTCGCGCTTGTTTTCGAAATCTGAATCTGAGTCTGAATCTGAGTGCACTCTGGCCGCACCCTACGGCCAGATTGCACTCCTGATTCAGATTCAGGTTCAGACTCAGAAAACAAAGCGCGAGAAAAAGCAAGCAACCTGCTTAGACTACACTGTTTATTTCTCGCGCTTGTTTTCGAAATCTGAATCTGAGTCTGAATCTGAGTGCACTCTGGCCGCACCCATACACTGTTGTCATATTTAGGTTTAGCTTTAGAGAATCACTAGCAAACGAGTGAACCAAATGTTCACCAAAACCTGATTTAAAAAAAAATGTATTTAATTAATTGAGAACTTCGGAGATTTTGTGTGGTTTCGTTTGAAATTCGTGATTTCTCGAAAACCGGAAGTGCTACGTTACTCAAATCCGGCTTGTAGTCTTATCAGACTATAACTTAAATATTCTCTTTATCTATCTCTTACGGTTTGGCCGCTGAAACAGCACCACAGACGGACGGACGGACGGACTTGTCTAATAGATAAGAGATGCCAGAATATTAATGTCTCGATAGATTAAAAGTTAAACAACTATTATGTACTTGGCTGTATCTAAATAGTTGAACTAGTTCTTCGAAACATTTAAAAAATCAATTAGTCAATGTCAAATGCGATACATATACTTTTTATGTATATTTTTTATAATTCATTCAAAGAAAACAGTTTTTCCAGGTTTTCTAATTAGTTTACGCATTTTTAGTAGTTATTTCCAATAAATGTATATGTTGTTTCATCTAAATGAATTGTTATAGCATAAGAATCATCAAGTTATGAATTTCGGGTACGTAAAGATATACCTAACAATTTAGTTTCAATCAATATTTTGTTCCTTATCTTAATTAAACGCAGTATTTTTTTCAGATTTGCAACCAAATTGTCGGGCAAACTCAATATACTTCTTTGTTATCATTATGTTTTATAGCATTTCTTCTAAAGAGGTGACAGAAATATTGTCAGCTTTTAAGCTTCAGTTTGTCAAGAATTGTATGCTTTTGAATATTAATATTTTATCCAATGGGCCATTGTCTAAGTTGCTTCAAGAATCAAGCTAATGCTGAAATAACTTCGACCCTGAGAAAGAAAGATGGTAAGCAATTATAAATACTATTATTTTACCAACTGTTATGACATTAAATATCCGGGAATGTGGATATTGAAATCCTGGTATTCATTATTTAAGTGTGATGATCTGATCAGCATTGCAAGAAGTCCTGATTTTGTCAGAACAACCTGAGTTTTAGCTCTAAATATAATGTTCCAGGATGTGGATGACATGCTCTATCTTACATTTCAAAAGTACCTCGACACTGCGGTATAGCGTGGAAGCACTACAAGTTATATAAATAGTTTTTGAAGTTATACTTCTTTAGGCGCGTTATGAAAAAATGATGAGAGTGAAATTTTAAGATGCGCGCGCATCACTGTAACACAAAATTTTAACAGCATGAAGTTGGTCGCTTTAGCGACAAGATCAATAAATAAATAAAGTTTCGTGCATTAACCCGTAAAAACTAGTTTTATTTAACTAATTCTAAACGATGCCAAAGAAGGATAACTTCTCACGCGCCTACATAAGTACACGCACCCATTTTTTTTTTAAATAAATTAGTGTGCATGGACCACACATTTGAAGTGAAACTTCTTTTCTTAAATAACCTAACATTAGGCAATGCATAAGGCATAGGGGAATGAAACAGCACATTCATAGCTCATGTATATATATTGTTGTGTGTGATGATCATAGCGTTTCAGCTTTCGCTGAGTTACCCTCTAACTTTCATGCTAGTGGGGATGAGCTTTTGGGTTTCATCTTATCCATAGGATTTTTCTATTTACACCCTGTATGAAAAGAAGTTTTACTATAAAAAGCTCAAAGTTGAATTTTCCCAATTTTAGCATTAGTTGTTTTTAAAATACTTATTAAAATGTGACAGAGTTCCCTCATATAAAGTATGATATTGCTTTTTATAGTTATATGATTTTATCACTCAACCTTCAAATATTTATTGCATTCAAATGTAAACTTTATTTGTTGCTGATCTTGAAAAATCAAAACCCTTGTTTTAATTACAGAGATGACAGAAATAGTTACCACGTGCCAAGTGCCTGCTGTAATGGTATCAGATTATCCTCAAGAGGAACCACTTCTACATAATAATGAAAATAGTATAGTATATAAAAACTCAGCTGTTCTTCAGAATGCTAATACATTAACTACTATTGGTGAACCTTGCCCAGGAGGAGAAGTTTTGAATTCCCAAAAAATACAGCTAACTGAAAAACAGCAAAAGCCATTCTACCAAAAGTTGCCTTCAATTCCACGCACAATGTCATCATTAGGGTCAAGTGAACCAAGGATCTCAGAGTTAAAAATTAATCAACTTTTTGATCAGTACAAAGATTCATTAGAAGATTCCATACTTGCAGAAGGAATAGAGAATCTATGTAATGACTTACAACTGAGTCCAGATGATTTCAAGGTTTTGATTCTTGCTTGGAAGTTGAGTGCTAGTCAAATGTGTAGATTCACACGTTTAGAATTTGTACAGGGCTTAAAAAACATGAAAACAGATTCAATTAAAGGCATTCAGCATAAATTAAATGAAATTACTAATGAACTGAGCAGAGAATCTGAGAACTTTAAGGACCTTTACAGATTTACTTTTAAATTTGGTTTGGATGTAAGTAGTGGTCAGAGAATACTGCCAACTGATATAGCAGTACTACTATGGCGTCTAGTCTTTACTAATAATGAACCACATGTTTTGGAAAGATGGTTAGGTTATCTAGAGAACAATGCTCAAATTAGAGGCATTCCAAAAGACACTTGGTACATGTTTCTCAATTTCTGTGAGTTTGTAGGTGATGATCTTAGCACTTATGATGACACTGAGGCTTGGCCAAGTTTATTTGATGATTTTGTTGAATATGAAAATGATCAAATGAATCAGAATATTACAAAAAATGACATCAAGATACAGGATTGAATGATTATAGTTGCCAAATTTTTAGCTATATAAGTACTTAATTTAAAAGGTATTGAGACTGACAATCCTGTTAATATTATAATGATGACAATTTAGTCTTGTATCTTTTGATGGTATAAGAATCAAATGAGTGTATTTAAAAGTTTATAAAATGTGGATGTAATGTAGGTTCTAATGAGATTTGATAGAGAAATAATTAAAATGTACATAAAGTTATATTTTATAAATTAACTACTTCTCAAGCTATGTACTGTCATATGTGTAGTTATAGACTATAAATTATAACATTCCAGTGATGGAATTAGCCAAAATCTGTATATATTTATCAATTCAGTATTTCTTTATTTTTATTTAAATAATTTGGCTAACAATTTTAGCATTCTATATTAGTCCTATGTTCTGCCACTTGGAGTTGCCTAGAATTTGCACAAACTGATGAAAATGGTCTAATCATTAATAAATTACATTGGAACGAAAATTCCCTTTTATTTACATTTATTAATTTCAAAGTTATTTTAGGCAGGAATCAGACGTGATAAGATGTTTGCAAAATACCTTTGTTAATATGCGCTCGGAAACGGTTGTGCGCCACTGTACAGTAAAGGTACAACCGCACTATAGTGACACTGCAGCGGAGGCGCGTAGCGGCATCTGAGTGGCGCGACACAGTTGACTCTCGGAGAATATTTTGCCGCTCCGCTCGCGCCGCGTCGGTCCGCTACCGCTAGTGCGACATAGCTCGCGGCGGCGGAGGCGCGGTGCGACCAGTCAGTTCAAGTTGTAACGACGACGAGAATGACGACCTCCGTGGCCGAGTGGTTTATACGCCAGGTTTCATGGCGTCGCCGACTCGAGAGGTCCCGGGTTCGAATCCCGGTGGGGGCAGATGTTTGTGTGATGAATACGAGCATTTGTACTCCAGTCATGGATGTTTAATATGTATTTCATATAAATATACTTATATATGTACAATATATGTATTCTATCCGTTACCCTAGTATCCCATAACACAAGCCTTTACAGTGCTTACTTTGGGGCTAGGCTAATTGTTCGAGTGCGAGTGTTTAAAAAAAAAAAAAAAAAACGTATCGAGCGAATGTGGCCACATAATGAACGACGAAAAATTAATTTCTCTTATTAGTAATTATTTGGAATTATATGATTTAGAAAACGAAACCTGTATGAATCATGTGAGAAAAATCAATATAATTATGGAACGAAATAAGTACATTAATAGGTGTAACTGGTCATCCTGAAGTAAGTATGAAATCTTAGAGGGTCTCTTAAGATTTGATCATGCACCAATATTTACCGCTTTTTATGTATTTCCATTTTTCTGCCTCTTCGCGTAATAAAGCTACTACTATAACTTCTTCGTTTATTCCGATCATCTTGATCGTCATGTAACCACGAATGAAATAAACAAAATGCCGCTCACTGTGGCGCCGCTGCAGTACAGTGCGGCTTGGTAATGCCGCGCCGCTCCGATGCCGCGACGCGCCTCTCCGTTGTAGTGTCACGCTAGTGCGGTTTCACCTTAAGAGTTTATTATTCACGTCTCACACGTGTTCCGAACAACTCATAGCTAACGAGGTGATGGCGTTTATCTAAAACGCCATCAACAATATGGACGAGGTCAGCATCCTGCAGATCTGCAAATCCAACTTCAAGGAGGATGAGGTTTGCAGAGGCAAGGCGCTGCTTTTCCGGTCTGTCGATAAGGCGAACAAGATGCCATCACCACGGAGGAATGGTACTGAGAAGAGTGTGCAGAATATGATCACCCTGCTGAAGGAGACCGATCCGTCGACGTGCCAACATTCGTGGCGAAGGAGCTGGACATTGGGGTGATGTTTGGATACAGGCATAAGATTAAGGCTTGGCGAGGTGGCTTTAGTGTCCAAAAAATGTCTAACGCATCCTCCAACCACCGGGGGAGCGAGATGCAGGAACTAGACTAATACTCCTGCACCAGTCACCCGTTACGCATTGTGAGGACTGAGGTCCTCCAAATGCGTGCCGGAAGTGCGGGTGTAGTCGCGGCAACCGTTTCCGACTGACCGCACACCCGCAACTTGAGCAACCCTGCAGTTTGCGTCGCGCCTCCGAGTCACAGGCCACCTTTTGATGTACAGTGGGGCCAAGATCTTGTAGGCGCGTGGCCGAAATCGGAACTAATAGTACTAAGAACGTATAAATAAGCCTTTTATTTAAATAAAGGAGGGTGTAATTATTTACACCCTCCTATTCCTATTACTCTTTCCGATTTATTATAAATTAAAACGTTCCTTTTAGTAAAGAGATGTTACGTACTTGATTTTTGTACTAAATGAAGATTACCATTCCATCATTTATTCACCAGCAGCGCCTTCTTATCAATGTTATAAAAGTGCCACAAGATCTTGGTCGGACTGTATTATGATCACGAGCTAAAGAAACGACAATAATTATTAATAAAATTTTATTTTATTTTAAACAAAATAATATAGTTGCAGCCTGCCAGTGTTCGCTCGGTGCGGCGACGCGCGCGGCCCGCCGGCGGCCGGCGCGGCGTCAACAGAAGGCACTACGACGCGGAGCCGTCCAGTACCCGTAGCAGGAACCATTATCGAATTCGATCTATTTTATAACATCAAATGTGTACTGATTTTTAGTTCTCGTTACGTCCGTTGTGGGGGACGCTGGCAGACCTCTCAGTACGGGACGCTGGCAGATAGGCCCCAGAATGATGGCATATTAGCCAAAGAAAAATCGAATTCATTACGTTACGTTAAATATCATCGAAGACAATCAATACAACATGTCTGTTGAGTCATAACTTGTTACAAGTTTGGGACGGCACTCCTAGTAACAGGGCATAATCTTTTTGTATGGAAACTTAAACAGCAGCGGCACAACAGATGTAACGAGAAGTAAAAATCAGTACACATTTGACGGTATATCAGATCGAATTCAACTATTCAAATTCGATAATGGTTCTAGCCCTTTACTCCACTGCAAGCGTCTCCACTCGACTCGTTAACTGGACCGAGCGGGGGGCAACGCGCGCCTCACATCACATCCACTGATATACACAAAATATTGATAATAATATACAGTCGCCCCTAGACGTAAATCTGATTACATTAAAAAAGCTGAAAATTTATAAATCCATAATATACAATTACTATAACAATTCGGAGGTTGAGCCGAAGTTATAAGAATAACGTTTGTGATACGAACCACCTTTACATAATCTGCGCAACTTTCCATAAGTACTCTCATTGTTACTACATAAATACTCGACATACGTATATGAAGCTTATGTGTCTTGTACAAAATATAGTTTCTCTGATAGAAATTGTTAGCACGATAGCTTCGTCTCGGGATTTAGGCTACTAAGAAATAAATTATAATCTATCATCATAATCAATAAAAAATATTGCAGATAATAACATTCATATTCCAAACTAAATTTTACCGAAACCGATGCTGCACTACATCATATAAATGACTTAACAGTTGGCAAACTGAAATACAAATCATACTTTATAAATACATGTACTGTAAGTGTATTATTATTTTAATATATAGCAAACTATTTAAAATTAAAACATAATTTTGTTTTAAAATAGGAAACAGTAATACTACTGTTATAACCATAGTATGTAAAACATTATAATCACTAGTGATTGTTAGAATGACCATTGTTGAGTATACCTAGTGAACGCAGTGAGTAGCGACATTCCTTCATAACATCAACTGCTTCATATGAATCGTCCATATTTATATATTAAATTCGCTACACACTGGCGCTAAGCGAATGATCTCCCTAACAATAAATAATTATATGAGAGCCTTATCCATCACAATCGGCAACATTGTTCATTTCAATGTTATCTAAAAAAAAACAAAGATGCTGATGAGTTGCAAATACTGCCGTTGCTAATTATTCAAAATCAATGTCTGCGGATTGGAACCACTGCGACGCTTTAATACTTCAGTAAAACACAAGAAAGTATAAAATTAAATAAATAAACTATAACATTATCAGCCACTGCGAGGGACGGAGCCAGCCAGTAAAATGTTAGTTTTTCCTTTTAAGAAAAGATTTCAAGACGAAGCTTTTTATATAATTTCATTTATTTTTGATACATTGATAGAAGATAAAACGGGGCTGGCATATCCATGAATGTAATATCTCCAAGTAAATAAGATGACAAAAAAAGACGTCATTTTTACAAATATTAAAGCGCCGTGTCGTTCTTGTTAGTTTATGGCAGTGGCTGTTAAATTATTCAAATGTTCCCGTAGGACTAGCCGTTCTATTCAATAAATTGCGTTTTTTTTTTCAAGTGGAATTGAAGCATTACACTCGAGCTCTCACGTGATACAGATCCCAAAATCAGGATTACATATTACATGCATTCTCTGTTGATATAGGGTTTTGGAAAGGCCTATCCTAGCTAAATTACAATCGTAGTGCCTGCCACATTTACTCAACCACTTTTAGGACCTTGCCGATAGCAATAGTTTTATCTGAAACAAACAAACAACTTTGTTATAATGTGATTTAATTCCAACATTTAGTATAGCTCAATACTAGTATCAATGCAACAGATACCATATTATATTGTTTCAATGGATCTTATTAAGATCCCCTAGCATGAGCGATGTGAAATACATTGTACGAAAGATTGGAACAGTTGGTGAAAAAGCATAACATTATAAGTAAAAAAAAATATCTAGTTATTAATTTAGTTTTGAAGTTATTAAATTACAAAGTTTCATCACTAACAACCCTAACACCACTTGCAATAAAATTATAAAACTAATATATTGCTGAACTCGACCTCGCACAACATGGAAAGCGTGGGGACATGTACTGCTGTACGTCCAAACTTTGTTAGCAGGGCTGACATTATAGAAGATACGGGCCAGAAATGAGTGAACGCTGCCGCGACAGGACTGACTCCATTAGTGGAAGCGTATCGAAGCGAATTTCAGAAACGAAACAATAAAATTAAACATTATCTCCACAACGTAATATTCCTTCTGAGATAAAAAAAAGACGCCCGATTATCAGCTCAGAAGCAATGCATTAAGTTGCGGAGATAAGGGTGGATTTTCTATGTTACTGTTGTAAAATTGGTTTGATGCGTTTCGACTCAGAGCTTGTATAAATGGACCATAGCAATGCATCCATGCTTAAACTAAATTAGCCAGTAATTTTTTTAAAAAATTAGTAGCCTTTTAGTTAGATAATCATGCCAGAAGTGTCCGTGATGCTAGCGTACCCACGATCAATATACGGTTTTTCGTTATGCCATTAAATACTGCGGAAATAGTGCCAAATTAGTGTAAAAATAAAAAAAATAGTGCCTCTTTAATTTAAGAAATAAAGACCATTTTTACTGTGTACGCTACCATGACGTCAAGCTAGCGTACCCATGGCCGACCTCAAGAACGGCATATATTTAAGCAACGAAATTAACACACAAAAATAGTTCGCAAATAGTGCCCTGGCTTTACAAAATTTCATAATCAATTAACATAAAATACTTTTACTGTTAGAGGAACTATTTGACACACTATTTATACATATAGAATTGATAACGAGAAAAGTTCATTTTCTATGAGAACTATTATGGGTACGCCAGGTTGACGCCAGCTAAGAATATTTAGTTCAATATCTTTGGTCCTTTAAGAGTATTGATTATGAAATTTTGTAAAGCCAGGGCACTATTTGCGAACTATTTTTGTGTGTTAATTTCGTTGCTTAAATATATGCCGTTCTTGGGGTCGGCCATGGGTACCCTAGCTTGACGTCATGGTAGCGTACACAGTAAAAATGGTCTTTATTTCTTAAATTAAAGAGGCACTATTTTTTTATTTTTACACTAATTTGGCACTATTTCCGCAGTATTTAATGGCATAACGAAAAACCGTATATTGATCGTGGGTACGCTAGCATCACGGACACATGCCTGAATCAGAACAAACACTAATTTAATTAATAGTGAGTATTTTTTTATAATAAAGTATCAGTACTTACTCTCGTCTCTTAGAGTGAATCTGCCCATTTGAGCAAACTTTTTGAAGGGTTCTAAACAAATGATGCCTGCGCACTCTATCCTCATTATAGCTACTTGATCCTGTTTCACAAAACGTGGTCTTGTTTTTGACTTTTCGCCAGTCTTCTTGTCGACCAAACAAATTAGGGCCTGAAAAAATAAAAAATGCAACAAATTAACAACCATTTAGGTTTAATTTACATTATGAGACATCTATCACATTTGTATTTAAGGGGTTAATCTCAGATTGTCTGGTTGCAGTGTGACTAACCCAAAATTCTATATTAAATAACATCCATACATAGTGTTGTCTAACATACCTTTACTGTAACTTCTTCAGCAGCACAATGTATGTGCATAACAGCCGAGTATCCCGCACAAATAATCGATTTGTGTTCCAAAATGACAACTTGAGCATCAAATACCTGAAAATAATATACTTAGTATTAGTCTAAAATCAACTTATATATTTAATATAATCGATGAAATAATTAAATATGAAGCTTTAAGATCCTGCGTTGCGTTAAGCGGAAGCACTCCATCGGACAGAGCGGACGTCCGCTGGGCGTGTTTGTTTCATGTTATTTCACAGAGCAGCGTTGCGCAAGACGGGTCTCCAGTGCCGCGCTGTTTTATTAAATGTCATAAAACCTGCACGCGGACGTCCGCTTCGTGCCCCGCTTAACCCAGTGCACGCTTTAATTAAAGTGACTATAAATTTTTCTGATTTGTAATACATAGTTGAGTACTAGAAACCATAAAACTATGGTTCTAACCGTAATAACCTAAAAATCATTAGCATGGTGACCTACACCGATTTTATATATTAAACATATTTCAACGATAATAATATCCCAGGACTTTGATCCGCGAGTTTGAGAATCTCACAGGAAACTAACACGTTTCTGGGATATAAAGTATCCCATGACTCAATCCATGTAATAATTATATGGGTGCCTAAACTTTCACGTTGTCCAGAACAGTTGAAAATTCATTTACACAGAAAGTCGTGACCGTAGCTCGATGTCCTCGCGACTTGAAGTACCTAAGTACGCTAATCGAGTGTCACGGTCTACTCAAATATGAGCCTTAGGAGGGCGACGTAAGGGTGAAAATATAATGGCATCTGCTACCTTGTTGACAACTCATGCTCGTTACGTGCATATAGTACGCCAATCGAGTGTCACGGTCTAGTTAAATATGAGCCTTAGGAGTGCTACGTAAGGGTGAAAGTGTAATGGCATCTGCTACCTTGTTGACAACTCATGCTCGTTACGTGCATATAGTACGCCAATCGAATGTCACGACCTACTCAAATATGAGCCTTAGGAGTGCGACATAAGGGTGAAAGTGTAATGGCATCTGCTACCTTGTTGACAACTCATGCTCGTTACGTGCATATAGTACGCCAATCGAATGTCACGCCCTACTCAAATATGAGCCTTAGGAGTGCGACGTAAGGGTGAAAGTGTAATGGCATCTGCTACCTTATTGACAACTCATGCTCGTTACGTGCATATAGTACGCCAATCGTGGGTCACGGTCTACTCAAATATGACCCTTAGGAGTGCGACGTAAGGGTGAGAGTGTAATAGCATCTGCTACCTTGTTGACAACTCATGCTGGTTCCGTGAGTACGCCAATCGAGTGTCACGACCAACTCAAATATGAGCCTTAGGAGTGCGAAGAAAGGGCGAAAGTGTAATGGCATCTGCTACCTTGTTGACAACTCATGCTCGTAACGTGCATATAGTATGCCTATCGTGGGTCACGGTCTACTCAAATATGAGCATTAGGAGTGTGACGTAAGGGTAAAAGTGTAATGGCATCTGCTACCCTGTTGACAACTCATGCTCGTTACGTGCATATATAGGTACTAGCGAATTCCTAATAGACCAGGGTCGATAATTTTTGAGACCAAAAAAAATTATAGTAGGATGAAACCCATTAGAAAAGGTAGAGAATATAACAAAAATGAAAGGAAAAATAAATTACGGGCGATCTGAGGTCGGGAAGGGGGAGGGGGTGAGTTTTTAAGGGTAAAAAATGGTTAAACTCGATTTCCGGTAAAACTGCAAGTCCTATGAAAAAAAATTAAATGGCAAAGTTGTAGGTAATAAAAAGATCTACAACTTTTGTATCGACACTTTTTTCACATAACCTCAAAACTTATGTGAAAAATGCGAATAACCGAGTTTTTGGTTTTTGATTTTTATTTTTTGCAAAAAAATTTAATTTTTCGCGAAATTTGGTGAAAACTTACCTTTGTATGTCCCAAACATACAGTAATTTTTTTTGATTTAAATATTCATTTTTTCACCTTATTTTGACTTAATATCGAAAAAGCACCCTTATTTTCAATCGAAAATTCTCACGTCAAAATATCCGCTTTTTTAAAAAAGTTGGGGTGTTTTTTGTTTGTTGAAATCTCTACTTTCTGATGGTATAAAAAAAATATACACTACTATGGTAAATGTTCTCAGAAACTGCAAATTAATAATGAAAAAAACTCCAATCCGAAAAATTGATTTGAATCATTATGTATAATTTTGAACTATTTATTAAAATTTACACTTTAATTACTCGAAAAACGTAAGATTTCATGTTATATTGATAAACAGAAAAATTACATATCCATAAAACATGCAAAAATAGTTGTTGTAAGTAGGTATTAAAAATAGGATTTTCGGATTCTCGAGTTTTTTTCATTATTAATTTGCATTTTCTGAGAACATTTATCATAGTAGTGTATTTTTTTTATACCATCAGAAAGTAGAGATTTCAACAAACAAAAAACACCCCAACATTTTTAAAAAAGCAGATATTTTGACGTGAGAATTTTCGTTTGAAAATTAGTGTGCTTTTTCGATATTAAGTCAAAATAAGGTGAAAAAATGAATATTTAAAATCAAAAAAATTACTGTATGTTTGGGACATACAAAGGTAAGTTTTCACCAAATTTCGTGAAAAAATATTTTTTTTTGCAAAAAATAAAAATCAAAAACCAAAAACTCGGTTATTCGCATTTTTCACATAAATTTTGAGGTTATGTGAAAAAAGTGTCGATACAAAAGTTGTAGATCTTTTTATTACCTACAACTTTGCCATTTAACTTTTTTTCATAGGACTTGCAGTTTTACCGGAAATCGAGATTAACCATTTTTTACCCTTAAAAACTCACCCCCTCCCCCTTCCCGACCTCAGATCGCCCGTAATTTATTTTTCCTTCCATTTTTGTTATATTCTCTACCATTTCTAATGGGTTTCATCCTACTATATTTTTTTTTCACTTTTCGCCATTTTTAAAATTATCGACCCTGGTCTATAATTGAACTGAACTTATCTAAAATGTGTGCAAAGCAAACAAATAAACTGTTCATGTGCGACTGTATAAGGATTTTTATAGTGTACAGTAAGTGCATTGATATGAATATTGAGGGTTTACTGTGTGAATTGTGTGGTTAATAAAGAACTGTCAAGCGTGAACTGGTATTATAATTTCGAGCCCCATCACGACACGTAACAAAATATTTACACACATCAAAAAATTCTAGCAACATGATTCATTTACGCAAAATGCAACTTTTATCAGTTGAATTTTAGATTATCGAAATGAAATGAATAATACATTCAAAAGCTTTCTTGCTTCAGTCACTAATAAATCTAATTGGTTATTATTAACAAAATAATATAGGTATTAATAATATTATACATCCATCAGAAGTTGTAAAAAGTTCATGTGGCTTTCACTTATTGATGATTTATATTATAGTACGATAATACTTACTCTCCCAGTGGTGATAGGCTCGGCAGTATCGCACAGCACGAAGCCAGGGGAGACATCTTCTTCTTCGATGCCTTTGAGCTTCACCTTCACATTCTCGCCGGGGCCAATGGACGTTACTTCGATATCATCAGACCATAGCTGATCTACGGTTACTTGAACCTTCAAATAAAAGAAATTTAAAACATTATATTATAATTTTCATTATTTTAAAGCATGTAACTGCTTGATGTTTAAATCTAAAGAAAATATAACTAGAAAAAATTCCACGCGGAACAGGCGGAATTTTTTCTAGTTATATTTTCTTAACATTATATTAGTTTAATATAACATTTATTTTTAGCGTGTTATCCCATGTGTCCAGAAGAGTATTATATGTTTATTATTGAAAGTGTATGTTCTTTAATTTATGAGCTTTTTAGATATCTAGTACCTAATTCTTTTTGGCATAAGTGTAAAACACAAAAAAAAAAACAAATCTATATTTTGCGCATGTGCAAGCGACTAAGAAAAATTGCTGAAAGTCGCGGTTCTTGTCGGTAACCCGGCATTGATTATTATTAACTTTCATTCTTAGATTTGATTAAATAAAAAAAAAACCAATAGCTAGTCCAAAAAGGGCATTTCATTCATCGATAACAGTTAATAAAATTATCTATTATATGGAACAAGCACAAGTCAGACGAATCATATATGGTGGTGGTCACATAATTAAAGACACTCCCTAATTGACGACAAAATCTTAGTTATGGTACTAAAATTAGCTAAAATTGGTATTTAATCTAGTGTAATTGTTATCTAATTCTACACGACGTTGTATTCTTAGAATGTGGGACAAAAAATAGTTGTGTTCGTTAGTAGTTTAAAACATTGCTCACTATGGGAATATAAACTTTTTTAACGTACTTGTGGCTGGCCAGCTAATTAAAGACTTGACTGTCTTTAATTTAAAAATGTCCTGAATTTAAAAAAATAAAGAAGCATTCTCTTTTTCTTTGTTTTGCCGCGTATTTTCACGAAACGTCGATATTACATAAAAAAACTCAATTTTTAATTAAAATTATATGTTTAAATCTAAAGAAAATATAACTAGAAAAAAATAACTAGAAAAAATTCCACGCGGACCAGGCAGCAGACGGGACCGGGACCTGGTCCGCGTGGAATTTTTTCTAGTTATATTTTCTTTAGATTTAAACATCAAGCAGTTACATGCTTTAAAAATAATAAAAATTATAACTAAAATTATATGTTTTAAACCCAGCAATATGGGAAAAAACAAGAGTTGGATTCGTTCACTAGGAAGATTATGTTCAACTTTCATAATAAAGATTGGTCATACAGAAAAATAGCAAACCACCTGAACTGTTCTAAGGTCATGGTTATGAATGCTATAAAACATTTCAAGAAGTTCAACACGGCCAACAACGTACCAAGAAAAACTACTCTGCAGGAAGACTCTAAGATGGTGTTGTTGGCATTAAAAGATCCGTTCAAGGGTGCAGGAGGGTGAAAGGGTGTGTCTGCAAGAACAATTACACGGAGACTATGTGAGGCTAACTTGTACGGAAGAGTGTCTCGGAAGGTGCCACTTTTGAAAAAGCAAAATGTTAAGGCAAGATTAGCATTTGCTAAAAAATATGTACACTGGATTGAACGAGAATGGAAACATGTGCTTTTCTCTGATGAAACAAAAATTAATATGATTAATTCTGACGGAAAACAATATGTTAGACGCCCCCTGAAAAAGGAATAGGATCCAAGGTTCCTGTCAGGAAAATAGAAGGCAGCATGGATAAATTTCAGTACAAGAATATTTTAAAAACAAGCAATGCTGCCCTATGCCGAGCAAAATTTACCAGTCATTTGGATTTTTCAACAGGATAATGATCCGAAACACACTGCAAAAATAATAAAAGACTTTTTAAGGAACCAGTCTGTGACAGTTTTGGATTGGCTCCTGTACAATCCTGATTTAAACCCAATAGAAAATTTGTGGTACCAGGTGAAGAAGACAGTGGCGACGAAACGGACATCAAACATCGATCAACTTTACACAGCTTTTAGAGAAGCTTGGAAGCAAATTCCGGTGGAAGCTTGTAAAAAATTGATGGGTTCCATGCCCAAGAGATGTCGTGCTGTCATTTCTGCCAAAGGACATGCGACCAAATATTGATACATACCGGAAAGTTTTATAAATGTGTTAGGAATATTGTGTAATTAAGATAATTTCAATAATAACAATATTCTTTTCTATTTCTTCTAAGCATATCGAGTGTCTTCAATTAGCTGGCCAGCTATAAATACATTAAAAAAGTTTGTGTTACTAACGAACACAACTATTTTTTGTCCCAAATGGTAAGAATATAACGTCGTGTATGGTTTACTAACAATTAAAGTGGATTAAATACCAATAAGTTTTATGTGGTTAATTAGGGGAGTCTTTAATTATGTGACCACCACTGTACATACAAAAAAGTAATATTAATTAGTATTAATTAATAAGTATATTATTAAATAGTATAATAAATTGATACTGTCCCTGTAAAACATAAACAATTATGATATTCTATTCATTTTCTCGCAATGGTAAAAAAATGTGTGGTTTTATAAAATCACAATACAAGTGCACTTTTAAAATCAGTAATAAAAAAAGTCTTACTTTGGCTGGGATTCAAACACGGGCTGCCCACTTTCTACCACTGAACCACCGATGCTCAGGAACATGTCCTTGTATTTGTCCATGACTAGCATTATGAACGGTCCATCTTGCAGTCTATCCATAGCCACAGTGGGGACATTAATAGACTGATGATAATGGATATTAAATAACTTACCCTATGAGAGTGCAGGCAGACCAAGCTCGCTTTGCCACGGGTGAACGCTGCCCTCTCCAAAACTCTTCTACAGCTAAGCAAACCTACATTGCACATGGTAACACACAGACAGCCCCCTATGCAGAGGATGCATGGAGGCAGAAGAAACAGCTACTCACGTTCTGCTGGAATGCAAAGGAGTGGCCGAAAACCGGGCGAAATACCTCGGCTCACCAGGAAACTTTCAAGAGGTAGTCACCAATGTGAAGGCCCTGGGGGCATTCCTGGCGGAGCTGGCTGGAGTGATTCCGGCTATACACCCTCCGTACGCAACACAGGCGCCATAAGAACGTCGAGTTGCGGAATCGCCCGTTGCAAGAAGAAGAGAATAGAACTTACCCTATTAGGCATGAGGAACAGGGTGCTACCCTTGCGCGTGGTGCCGGCCTCCACCTTGCCCATAAGCACGGTGCCCATATCTTTATACTTGTCCACAACGGGCATTATGAATGGCCCGTCCATTTTGCGGTTCAGGGACGGCAGCTCGTCGATGAGCTGGATGAAGGAAGGGCCGCGGTACCAAGGGCAGATCTCTTCCGTTACCTGGATGAATTTTTTTTCTAAATAAATCATTATAATTTTCCATTGCCGGCACTTCTCTTGGCTATTTTTTTTTGTGTTTGTGGCTTGTTCCGTTTTGCTATTGTATTTGCTTTTTGTAAACTTGACAATAGTCTGTCTTTGACATGCTTTAAAGGAAATGAAAAGGACAGACTGATTTCTAGTTTACAAATAGCAAAAACGATTAACCAAGTTTGTACACAAAAGAACATTTTCGTAATGTCGTCAAATTGCGGTAAGCGATGTCACTTCATCGCGATGGAGTGCAAGGAAGGGTTGGAATTCAAGACAACAGGGATGGTGTCTTCACTAAAGATATTTGTTTTTTACAAGTGAATACAAGTCTGCATAATTATGTTTTTGTTGTGGTTTCAATGAGTACTGTTTCAACTGCACTTTCAATACAACGCCATGCAATGACAAAGAGCTTGACTAAAAACTGTGCAAATGACAGTAAATACACAATTAAAAAAGATTATTGCTAATTTTTTAGAAATGTGTCCCTTGAAAGTTACAAAATTACTCTGTCAAGTTTTCTATTGTAATAATTAAATACATTTTAATTCCTACAATGATATATCTCATTTTATGTTGGTGTATGTCTCTTTTGCACCATAATCAAAGTCTTTTATAAACAACTAGTGGCCCGCCCTCGCTTTGCTTCGGTGTAGAGCTGTAGTGTAGACTATAGTTTTTGTTGAAAGGCTTGTATTGTACACAATAACCTTCTTTATACTAATTATAAACCTTCCATTCCATGTAAAAAATTCGTTGCGTAGTTTAGGAGCCGTTGTACCGAATGTACCAAATGTAACATTGCTCTGCTGTAACGATTTGAAAAATTATATTTGTATTGGATAATGCATTTATCGAGGAAGGCTATAGGTATATTACCAGGCTACGACCAGTAGCAGCGGAGCATCGATAAAAAATGTTGCAAAAACGTGTAAAAATATGTGATATCCATTTGTGAGATTCCGTTACGTGCGCTGAGTAAACAGTTAAAGTTACACAAAAATCATGTATGACGGAAATCTTTCCCTTTAAAAGTTCTGTAAAAAAGCCCATGAGAGCTGATGAGAGATGTCTATATTATAAATTTGACTTACTATAAACCTTTTTCTTCAAATTAACGCGGGTTAAACCGCAGGGGACCTCTAGTCAGGGGCGGTTTATGCACTAGGCCCGCTAGGCCCGAGCCTAGGGCGCCGTGGCAGAAGGGGGCGCCACGGGCCGATAAATTTGAAAGATTAAAAGCGAGAAAGCGAACGTTTTAATCGGGTCCACTCAAACGTCAATATCGCCAATATAAAATATATATGTGCTCCATTCCTACCCACAAAACTACATAATATATGTATGACTGAAATTCTGTTTCCGTTAAATTATTTTTGAAATACACTCCCGCTCAAAAGTATGGGTTCACTTCTCGAAATTTTCAGCTTCGGTATAAGTTCCATATCTTGGTGGAAAAAGGTCGTAAGAGAATTTAATGAGCACCGTTTGGAAGGGGACAGTTTTAGCTTCACTTTGCTATTTTTTATAATTTTTTACAATTTTTTTTATAGTCCCCATGCGCTTTTGAACATGGCAGTTTTTCGATGTATTTTTGCCCTCTGGAAACGGGCTGTCTGGCTGTTAAAAAATTTTCCTTGCAATTTCATTCATCGCAGTTTCAAAGAGGATATTAAACACTGCATTTTTGTTTTTGAAAAAGTATCGTGCGTTTTTTTTTACCAAAAATATTCTAATTTTCGACAAAAATTGATAATTTTATTCAATTCGGCGTATCTTGAAAACGGCGGGTGATCGAAGAAAATAGCAAGGGGGTGAAAAGTTGCAATAGATCATGATGGACCTTGTAGATTTATTTCAGAATTTTTTCCCGACATTTGTTTTTTCATACTCTTGCAGTCGAAATGATTTAAATTTTCTCATGATTTTTTCTTTTTTTTAGACGGCGCAGGCATTTCTTTTATTGGTTTTATAACCATCTTGACGTAATTTTTACTAAAAATCAAATTTCGCACAATTTTTTGTACGTTTTTTTCATTTAAAAAAAATAATTTTTAGTTCAAATTACGTCAAGATGAAGATGAAACCAATAAAAGCAATGCCTCAGCCGTTTAGAAAAAAGAAAGAATCATGGGAAAATTAAAATCATTTCGACTCTTCGTTACTGTTTGCTCTGAGTGATACCTGTTTTCCTAAATATATAAACTTCTGGACACATCTATTGGCCCACCTTGTATTTTCAGTTTCGTTTGGTCCTAGCTAAAATTTTATATTAGGTCGAGTAAAAAGTTTTTATGCAGTTTTGAACCTGGCACATTCACAATTTCATTCAATAGTCTTTTTTTGAATTTCGAACACAGAATTTAAAGAAACAGAAGACAATTTGGAGCCTGTTTGTTGATATCAAACAATCGAATACTAAGAAAACTTGGTTTTATTGGTTTACTTGGATTTAATTCTTGAAAAAGTGATTGATATCTTTGGTTTTGCAACAAACATTACTTATTCTTAACATTAAGGTGAGGTTCTATCAATAATCTATGGATATTTCACCTGAAGTCGCCGCCCAAGCTGTGGCACTTATTCAGGCCGGACACAGCCAAAGAAACGTGAGTGCTCAACTTAATTTAAGTCGATCTGCGGTCCGAAATGTTTATCGGAGGTACCTAGAGACTGACAGCTTTGTTCGTCGTCAAGGCAGGTCACGATCTCGGGTCACAACTGAAAGGCAGGATCGATTCATCGTGACGACCAGCTTGAGAAATCATCACCTTACCTCCATTGAGATACAAAACCAACTTCGCGACTTCCACGGAGTATCTGTGAGCGCTCGAACTGTTCGGAGAAGGTTAAAAGAACGCGATATGGTACCACACAAGCCAGCTAATGGGCCCAAACTAACGCGAGCCCACCGAACAGCGAGCCTTCATTTCGCACGCAGTCATTTAAATTGGACACAGCAAGATTGGAGCTAAAATTGTGTTACATGGCAATGATGGAAGGAAGAAGGTCTACCGACGTAAGGGAGAGCGTTTCGCACAATGCTGCTTTGAAGAGAGGGTTGCTTATGGCGGTGGCTCATGGACTGTCTGGGGCGGTATATCCGCGAGCGGCAAAACTCAACTTGAGGTTGTTACAGGACCACGGCTGCCAACATTAAATGCTGAAAGGTACATTCGTGAGTGCTTAGAACCTCACGTGATACCATACGCGGACTATGTGGGCCCAAATTTCCTTTTTATGCATGATAATGCAAGAGCCCATGCGGCCGGCATCGTCAGGGAATATCTTCGGGATGTGAACATCACAGTTATGGACTGGCCAGCCAGAAGCCCAGACATGAACCCCATTGAGCACATGTGGGACGAGCTAAAAAGACGTGTTAGGGCTCGTCAGCCAGTTGCCCAGACGATGCAGGAGTTGAAAACTGCCATAGAAGAGGAATGGGAGATGATCCCTCAAAATTTCATAGAGTGGTTGATAAACTCTATGCCTAATCGTATGAGAGCTGTGGTAGATGCCCATGGAGGCAACACGCGTTATTAAATTAAACCTTTATTTGATAAAACATGTTTTTTATTTAAAAATCAATTGCCTTTAACAAGGCGCATATCCGACTTGTTAGGCGTAGCTCCATGTCGTATGGTATTCTGAATTCAAATTTAAAACAATACGATCGAAAAAGATGGTAAAATGTATCAGGTTTAAAACTGCATCAACAGTTTTTGTTCAATCTAGCAATCATAGTTCGGTAGGGGAAATCGAAACCTAAACTCTAAGGTGGGCCAATAGATGTGTCCAGAAGTGTATATTCATTTACATATTCTATATCATTTTCTTCAATTGTTATTGGTTTATTTTCTTTCGTTCGTTTCGTTATCGTTTTGCTAGGATTCATGTGTAATCCCACTATTTTACTGTCCAGTGATTTTAACATATGTTCTATTTCTGGAGCTGTGTCTGCAAACAAGGCAATATCATTGGCAAATCTTAGATGACTTAGGTGTCGATTTTGTATTTTTATACCTTTATTCTTCCATTCTATAGATTGGAATAAGTTTTCTAGGACTGCGATGAACAACATAGGTGACAGTGGATCTCCCTGTCTAACACCTCTTTGTATTTTGATTTCTTTCCCATAGTTTTCTAATCGTAGTCTGCTTACTACATGTGTTGAGTGCTTTCCATATTGAACTGTGTGTAATGCTGTCGAAGGCCTTTGTATAGTCTACAAAGGCTTTATATAATGGTCTGTTGTATTCTTTATACTTTTCGATGATTTGTTCTATTGTGTGAATATGATCTATTGTTGAGAAATTTGAACGAAATCCAGCTTGTTCGGGTGGTTGGTGGTTATCTATATTAGCAGCTATTCTTGCAGTTAGTATGGATGTGAATAGTTTGTAGGTGCTTCATAGTAGACTTATTGGTCGATAGTTCGAAATATCTGTGGGATCGCATGATGATGAGTATGAAGTAGTATGATGTCTGAGTGAAGTCATTGTTTTGGTACTATCTCATATTCTAGAATTAAATTAAACAGGTAACAGACCTGTTTAAAGAAGGTAATTATGATTGGTGCACCGAGTTTTATTGCTTCATTACTAATGCCGTCTGGGCCTGGGGTCTTCTCTGATTTTAGTTTCTTTATATGGGTTATAGTACCTCTGTTTCTGTTATGGGATCTATTGTGAGATTTTCTCTTTCTGTTTGGTGTTCAATTTCTACATTTCCTATGTCTTCTTTTGTTTTCCTACAGAATTTTGTATAAAATTCAGTAGCGCAGTTCATAATTTCATTTCGGGATTTTGTTTCTTTTTTCCCTTTTTTTAGTTTTTGAATCCATTTTTCATGTGTTTTAAGTTTTTTGTACGCGCGTTTTAAGCTTCGAAATTTTGATAGTTTTTCTTGGATTACCTGTCTGTAGTTTTTGTAGTCCTCTTTAATCGATTTGCTTGTCTTTCTGAATAGATCCTTTAGTTCTTCTTTTTGTTTTTTGCTCTTATTTTTGGTTTTTATTAGTTCTGTGCGTTTGGTTATTAAGTTTATTGTTTTCTCACTCATTATTTTGTGTTTATTATTTTTGTGATTTCCTTTTTCCATTTTCAGGCTTGTTGTTATGATTTCTTCTAGTTTGTTAGAGTATGTTTCGACATCTTTAGAGTGTTGTAATATTTCTAGGTTCATTTGTATATTTTCTTTTAGATTGTTAAGGTATGTTGTTATTTCTTCGTCGGTTTTCGGTATTCTCGGTATGGGTTTAAATGACTTTCTAATTAGTTTGTTCGGTTTTACTTGAAAAGAAGCTCTTACTGGTCTATGGTCAGATGAAAAGTGTATTTGGTTTAGGACTTCAACATTTGTGATTCTTTAAGGTTTGTTACACATTATAGAAAATACACTATAGCCTATATTAATCAGTGATAATGTAGCATTCAAATGGTAAAAGATTTTTTAAAATCCGTCCAGTACATTTAGGGCCAATTCGTTACAAACATACTTACATACAAACCTTTCCTCTTTATAATATTAGTATAGATTGACATTTAAGATTACTGCCACATACTAACGTGTGAATTTTAACATGTGTGTTACTGTTATATGTATAAGTTAACATACACAACGCCACTCCGACTATTTTTAGGTGCACTTTTGTTAGACGATCAGGACTCTACTTGTTTTTTAATGTTAATATGTTAATGACTGTAAAAAAAAGATGCTTACCCTTTCCAATAAACCTTGTCCTGTTTGGCCTGATACAGGAAGAAATGAGAGATCTTTAGCTGTGTTGAAGCCCAATTTCTTAAGGTATGGCATGATTTTGTCTCGACATTCATTGTATCTAAAAACAATAACATTTCCTTATGAGTTATAGAAATCATATTTGATTTCAAGATTATATTCAAGCATGAAATTTGTTAAGATTAAGTAATTTAGTGATATCACCTTTTCTCATCCCAGTTCACTGTGGGATCATCCATCTTGTTAACAAGTGCCACTAGGTGTTTGACACCAGCTGTCTTAGCCAACATGGCATGTTCACGTGTTTGACCCCCTCTGTCGAAACCAGTTTCGAATTCTCCTTTACGTGCAGATATGACCTGTGAAAATGTACAGATGTAGTGTCAAATAAAAGCAAGTGCATTTTCAGATCCTGGATTACTTAAATTTATAAATGGTAAACCCATCAATACGATAAAATTATCTAAAAATCATGAGTATCATAAGTCATGACACAACAACAATCCCTTGGATAGTTATAAACACTCAATTATTATGCGGGCACTTCACTTGCATATTCGTGTACATGACAATCATGCTTTATAAGGAACTAGCGGCCGCTCGCGACTTCGTACGCGTGGAGTTAGTTAGAAATGAAGGTTCACTGCTCGTTCTCCATAGGTGATAGGGTGAAAATATGTAGCCTATATGTTGACAGGACTTATTAATAATATTCCTGCCAAAGGACAATGGGCAAAAATGTATGGACGCTGCACCCACGTCCGCCACGGCTTAAACTACATTTTTTTGAAAGGTATTAGTCATGATCCTCTGTGCCAAAGCGCATCAAATTCCATCCCGGGAGTCTTTATTTATTTTAAGTTAAATAGGTACAAGTACTATAATGAAACTAGGGAATTAATTTAGTTTGTTAGTTCTCCTCCTACATAGAGGGCTAAAGTATTATGGGAATACTTCACTAGGTGCAAGGGTGTACCCTTAAGTTATTCTGCCGCGCTAGAGTAAATCCAAAAATCCCTGCATGGGTTGGAGTTTTTTCAAACAGTCTGTTCCTTATAGTAAATTGTCTTCAATGTAAAACGCATCGACCTCAAATCACACAAACTTGTCCACGCTTCGGAGAAAACATGATTCCAGTTCATCCATACTTATTGACAAAACCGATAATCGAGTTCCAATATACAAAGCGTGTTAGATTAAAATAAATCAAATGACAGGGAGCGCACAATCACAACGAAGTAAGACGAGTTGACTACTTGCAATTGCAAGTCCTTCAACCCCCGCTAAACTGTTTTAAGGTGTCTGAGTAAGTGCAAGCGCAGGATGGTTGGCAGGCATTGTCGTATATCTGGTGGTATAGTACGATATGGCATACTATTATGGTTACTAATAATATAAAATTAAGGTACTATAAAATGAATATATTTAGCTACGCCCATTCGCCCATATGTCATATCTATTGACTACCAGGATACTTTGTATGGTGTCATATTTTTTGACTACCAGGATATTTTTTTTCAGTGTCATAATAAAAAAGGCTAGTTTTTCATAGATCTATCGATTCATACTAATTACATTGTTGGCAGAGCTGGGTGTGTTTTGCCCATTGTCCTTTAAAGTAAATCCATGCAGTAGTTTTTGAGTTTATCCTGGACATACATACAGACAAACAGACAAAAATTCTAAAAACTATATATCTGGCTTCAATGTCAATTGTAGGACACACTCCAAGTACTCTTTTAAAAAAAATGTACTGTTTTGGCTTTCGTACCATTTTATTATATGTATAGATGAAAAGGAGTGAAGTACTGATAACCAAGTGAAGTGAAGGCATCAAAGAAATATTATACACTGACATACCAAGACAGCAAGGTCTGCTTGTGCTGCACCTCCAATCATGTTTGGTACAAAACTCTTGTGCCCTGGAGCATCAAGGATTGTAAAATGCTTCTTTTCTGTTTCGAAATAGGCTCTTCCAACTTCAACCGTTTTGCCTTTGTCCCTTTCTACAAATAAAGATTAATAAATTATGTCAATAATGGTAATCAATCACTTACAATATGACAGAATAAACTTCATTTAAGATATTCAGTTAGATAAAAAATTAAAAATGTAATATGCATGTATTAAGGAAGATTGGAAGATGAAACAAAATGTTTATACATACATGCATTACTTCACTCCATATGTCTTGTGGGGTTGGCAGTGCCTCAAATGCAAAGGTCATCACTATGACACAGATACATTTAAGGATACATTAGTATATCACTCCCACAGGCACACTGGATCCTAGTTTTCACTTAGTATAAAACTAATCTCCCCATTGATAGACTTTTACTGACATTGATTGCAGAAATATTTCAATTTTTTGCTCCAATTTCAGCATGAGATACATAGTTGATACAAAATACTTTTAAAACAATTATGAATAAGTAGAATAAGTATATTACCTTCTTGATTAGTATCCAGTGCCCAGGATAAGTACCAAGATTCTCTTGACTTTTCTCGTGCTTCTCTTTCATATTTTTCAAGGGTTCTTTTGTCCACCATCCCAGTCAAAGACATGATTTGCCCTCCAATTGTAGACTTTCCTGCATCTATTATTTAATTATTAATAAGTTATATTCTTGATACAACTAATCACTCTTCAAAAACATCCAATAAATACCCACCTACGTGTCCAATGAATACAACATTGACATGCTCTTTCTTGCTTCTGGTATCTTCAACTCGAACGGGTTTCTTCTTAGGTATTTTCTTTGTAGTTTCGCCATCCTCCTACAAGATAGTAAATAAGATGTTTTATAACAAGCTTACATTCAATCATATTATACATAACAAGTAAACTAATATAATGATGCGTTGGGTCGACTCTGCGCCAGAGCGTAAGTTGAGCCCTTATACAGAAAATAGAGTAGGTATGTAATATTTAAGGAAATCTAGAAGGAAGGATGATGTTTATATTACAATATTGAAACAGTTTCATTCTTACATTTTACTTTTATACAGAAGTGACTAGTAAATTACATATAATCAACTATACGATACGTAGAGATTGGATTAAATGCAACATAATAAACTCTAAATAGGCATGCAAACAATATGTATATAAAGTGTCGAAATAATGCAACATCAAGTAATAAATAATTTTTAAAAAATATAATCCGTATTTTTGTTCCTTATTCTAGTCATTTTATTTACAAATTGTTTAAATCTATAGAAAATATTAACAGAAAAAATTCCATGCAGACCAGGCAGCAGATGGTCCGCATGGAATATTTTCTAGTAATATTTTCCTTAGATTTAAACATCGAGCAGTTACATGCTTATTATGCTTAAAAAAATATTACAAATTGTTTACAAATTAAATAATATGTCACAACAACCCACAACTCTGTGATATGTATGAAAAGAAGAGATGTACTATGGCTATGACCAGCAAGTAAGATATAGAGCAACTTCGATGCAAGATTATGCACAACTTGACAGCAGCCTACATGATATCTGTTATGTATATCAGTTATTAAAAAAAAACAAAGATGAAATATTGATATTATTGTACAGAAACAGGTTGGTTCCAACCATTCAGTTACGAGATTGTTTTTATTTAATAAAAATATTTTTGTTAATAGAAAAGGACCATTCTATGACAACTAAAATGGGAACACTAATCAAAGAGAAAATAGGTATTGCAAACATGTGAAAACTATGCATTATTTTAAACTGACAAGGTTCTATACATGCAAATGCAACATAAAAATGCATAGTTCCTCTTTAATGATAGATGTTTATGTAAACATTAGAGAGGTATAAGCAGGAATTTTTATTTATAATAAATACACAGATCACAAAAGCAAATGCATTTTTCACTACTGGCATCTGAAACTACTGTTGTGCTCATCGTAATGTGATGTCTGAAATAAATTGAACCTGTTGTTCGATTTCTTCTTCGTCAGCTTCGTTGTTGTCTTCAGGTGTAAGTAGTGCATCATCAGCTTCGGCCTCCCAACTGTCTGCAGTGGGAGAGACATCGGGTGGGACAGGCAATGCAGTGGTGGCAGGAGTGCCAGCCGGTGGTACGGGCGGTGGCTCTTCCACTCTTGGAGATGCTGAAGCCGCCCCATTATCTCCACTTTCACCACCACCATCACCACACCCTAATAATATCAAATATGCAAAAGCAAATATGTTAGTCTCTGCAACAACTTTATAATATATCCATTTATTCATATTTTAATCAATAATATTTTGGTAAGCCTTCTCAAGCGTTCTCAAAGAATTTTGTATTATCTATCTATAATTTACAGGATAAACAACTATGGGATACTTATACGGTAACCACTACATCACTTAAAAACAGTTCCAAAAATTAATTGTATAAAATATAGTTCCACTTTTCTCACATTATATATGATATGAAATTGACTTTTGAAATATGTAATGGTATCCTGAAGCTGCTTATTTTGAACATAATTTAGTATTTATATTAGAAGTGTTAAACATTATAAAGTATATCACTGTTAAATTATAACTTCATTATATTATTATTCATATTGTATATTATCACAGTGATTTCACAAAATTGGCTTTAATTTTAGGTTATCTTCAAGCTTTGATTGTCATTCTTAGACCATCATTATAAATGAGTAGACACAAAAAATAAGACTGAAAACTATTTGAAACTTATGTGAATTAAAACTGACTCTCTATCATTACAGGTGGTCATGGAACCAATGTTTAGGAACAAGGAAGATAGGTATACTAACCATTCATTATCACAATTATTGCGACTTGATAAAACAAACGGAGAAAGTAAAGCCTACGTGCAATATCTATCAAAGTGTTAGTAGCGCGCCGCGTGTCTCGACATAACCCGTTAAAACTGGATTAGAAAAAGAATTGAATCGTCGAACTCGATACGAATGATATTAGGAACCGTAAGTAGGATTAACAATTATGTATAATACAGTATAGTTTTTTAGAGCCACTGTGGAACTTCATTGCGGATAGATAATGACAAGTCAACTCACCGTTTAAGACGGGACTCCCAGCGGAATTAGTGGATCCACTCTCGGATTTTTGTGGTGTACTGGGAGATTCCGAATTATCGCTTGCCTGAGAAGGCTTACAAAAAGAAGGCACGAACTCCACGGCATTTACATTCAATGTGGAAAATTTAGTAGACACATCATTGGAATCTTTTGCACCTTGTTCACCTATGACATCCGCTTGATTTTCCCAAGAATCCGGAGCACCGTTGTTGGACATATTTAGATAATGAAAGAGTAAAATTACTTGGTATGTTTTTCCGGATCAGGTATTTTTTAATAAATTTCGCGTTCTTTTCTCGATAGATCCGCGTGTGTCTTTATCTCAAACCGGAAGTTCATGGCAATTTGCCAAATTTATCTTAACTTTACATTAAATACAAAAGGACCAGTTGACTCGTGAATGTTTTAAATATAATAAAGCTATTCTAAATAAATTAAAATATGAATTATTAATTAATCAAATTATAAATCAAAGTACAATTATTTAGTTCATGCTATAATAAGTGCTTCAAATTTTATATCCGGTAAAAATCGGTTGGTGTTGCTATGTTGTTCTCTTGTATTTTCATGGAATTATTCAAACAGGGCACTTGCCCAAAAAAGTGTGCCAACGAAAAGGGTACGGGTACGGCCAGAGTGCACTCAGATTCAGATTCAGACTCAGAAAACAAGCGCGAGAAATAAACAGTGTAGTTATAGCAGGGTGGCCATAGTAGCAGCAGGCAACCTGCTTAAACTACACTGTATATTTCTCGCGCTTGTTTTCTGAGTCTGAATCTGAATCTGAGTGCACTCTGGCCGTAGGGTGCGGCCAGAGTGCACTCAGATTCAGAGTCAGATTCAGATTCTGAAAACAAGCGCGAGAAATAAACAGTGTAGTCTAAGCAGGTTGCCTGCTTTTTCTCGCGCTTTGTTTTCTGAGTCTGAATCTGAATCTAAATCAGGAGTGCAATCTGGCCGTACCCTTCGACTACACTGTTTATTTCTCGCGCTTATTTTCGAAATCTGAATCTGAATCTGAGTGCACTCTGGCCGCACCCGTACCCTACGGCCAGAGTGCACTCAGATTCAGATTCAGATTCAGATTCCGAAAAAAAGCGAGAAATAAACAGTGGTGCCGATTCTGGCGTGATTCTCTAAACTTAAAACTAAATTTAACATCAGTCTGTCCTTTTCATTCTGTATAGAGAATGACAAGGATATGCTGCTGTCAAATTTAAGTTTAGATTTAGAGAATCATGCTAGAATCGACACCAGTGTAGTCGAAGGGTACGGCCTGAGTGCACTCCTGATTTAGATTCAGATTCAGACTCAGAAAACAAAGCGCGAGAAAAAGCAGGCAACCTGCTTAGACTACACTGTTTATTTCTCGCGCTTGTTTTCGGAATCTGAATCTGAATCTGAGTGCACTCTGGCCGTACCCAAATGCAATATCTGTACCGTTTCTCTCTTTCTAAAACTTGGGACTAAAAATTTAACAAGAGAGGGTTTTTTTTAATACTAAGAAGATAATTTCATAAAAACCATCTCATTTACTTATAATACGTTTTATCTGTAAATTATATATTTTTTTAATCATGACAAATATTTTAAAATGTGTTGCGCAGAAGAGCCTCCCATCCACTTCTCCGTAGATGGCCTTCCCAAGTGGTAGGTAGGTATACTTTATTGCGTATGGGTGCGGCCAGAGTGCACTCAGATTCAGAGTCAGATTCAGATTCTGAAAACAAGCGCGAGAAATAAACAGTGTAGTCTAAACAGGTTGCCTGCTTTTTCTCGCGCTTTGTTTTCTGAGTCCGAATCTGAATCTGAATCAGGAGTGCAATCTGGCCGTACCCTTCGACTACACTGTTTATTTCTCGCACTTGTTTTCAGAATCTGAATCTGACTCTGAATCTGAGTGCACTCTGGCCGCACCCTAAGGCCGTACCCTAAGAAGGATTTTTTCTGAAAGATGGGTCTGTGAAGCGGTCTACTGACATTCCTGCCGCAGGGCCAATCTAGGGCGCACGGCGGTCAGGGCAATATCGGCTTGTTTCTACCTGCTATTCAGTGCTCGGGTTATAGTTGAAAAAAACCTGTCAACTAAACCAAATTTATGGTTAGCTACCGATAAAATGCGGTTATTAACCGTTAATTATCCGACTGCGTCAAAGGAAATAGGTATGTAAATAGTCTGTATTTTTATTGTGTAGTCATCAGTGTAGTAAAAAGTCGATATCCGAAGGATAAAGATTCCATTTAAGATTTTTTAATCATATATAAAGCTGCCAATATACAAAATCCAGTCTTAAATATGAGTAATTTAAGGTAAACTTAATACATAATTTATAGTCTAAGAGCCAGTGTTCCGCAGACTTAGGTATAGTAGCAAACTCCATATTAATGCTAGTTATACTAATTCATCTGCCGTAGATCAAATGGGAGTTCACTATTCCCATAGGGGAAAACTTCCCCTAAAGGAACCCTTAGGCGTGCCTAGTAGTCGAAAAGCATGAAAATCGACTTTCAAAACGTGATCGCAGCATGTCTGCCGTTTTGATATCTTAAAATATATTTTTTTTTCTATAGAAAAACTTAATGGCAGACACTTGCTCCGGTTCCTACTATATTTTATATAATATCATAGTTTCCAAAATTACATAAAATTTGCTTTATTTTAGCAAAGCTAATAAATTATGTACGTTATTTATATTATAATTATAAACATATATTTATAAAAACAGACCCATACGTCGGTTCTGACATGCGGGCAGCAGGCCAATGATGCTCGCTAATTGTGATATTGTTTTGATGTCTATTTCACATTACGTATTATGCTCTCCGAAAAATGCGATATCAAAATGACATCAACTTATGCTATGATGATGATCAACTCTATAAAATGATATCAACTTAAATGCGTATTACGTTCAACTTTTTGACTTAAAATAGTATCGCATAAACGTCAAAAATGTGATACAGGATATGATATTGATATGATCTTGATGTGACATAGGAATGTTTCATAATACCATATAAAAACAATGTCAACTTGGCATCAACATCATATTGACATCACATTAGAATTTTATTACTGAAGCATAATTGACCCACTGACCACACGATACTTTCCCAGGTGTGCTATTGAAGTTGCATGATTTTGATTTTCTCACTCTTCATTTCGCCGGGAACTAGTGATTCCAACTAGACACCTTACCATAGAGTAAATAAGCCTTTGAGTTTTTTTGATACTTCTCAGTGAGTGAACGACCGAGTACAAATAGGTAGAGTGAGCAAAAAAAGATTTTATTTAATAAAACTTATTTACTAAGATTAAGTGAGAAAAAGCATCAGATTTTTTTAATAACATTTATTTACTAAGATTGAGAAAAAAAAACACCGATTTTTAATAATATTTATTTATTAAGACTGTGAGAAAAAATATTAATCAGAATCTAGCTCTTCTATTCCGCTCATCTCTGCATTACCGCCGGAGTAGTTATGAATAATCATTCACTTACTAGGTCACATACGAACATGCATCCTTTATGTTGGCAAAAGTTAGAAATCGAGTTTCTGAACGCAACTTAAAGTGACATTTGGTTGACGATTTAGTTTATTAACCATACATGGCCAAAGCTCAATAAGTGAAAAAAAATATCAACCGATATTAATTGTCAATATTTGTTATTGTTTGTTTACAAATGTTTGATTTTTATTCTTGAATTAGCTGAGTGCTAAAAAATGGTTCCAAGATTTTTTTGCAAACCGTACTTTTCAAGCGCCAAAAGTACTTGGTATCGACAGAAAAGTATCGAGTAGTTACTTGTATTTTATATACTCGTATCGTTTCATCCCTATGGGTACGGCCAGAGAGCACGCAGATTCAGATTCAGACTCAGAAAACAGGCTCGTGAGACGTCAGCTTGAGGAAAGCAGGTGATGGCCACAGTGGAGGCAGATAATACAAGACACGGACGCGAGCACTGTCGCCAGGTTACATTTTTATATAAAAATAAAACCACTTCATAAACTTTTTATCTGTAAAAAGTAGCAATCGACAGTCATTCAACATTTGTTTCCCCTATTAAAAGTCTATAGAAAACGTTTCTTCGAATATTTTAGGATGGAAGTGGAAACGTTCTACTACATTTTAAAAAAAATTGAACCTCACATGATGAAGAATAGGTGTAATTTGCACAAACACAAGATTCTTCCAGAAGAACGCCTTGTTATAACCATTAGGTAAGAATTTATTACAATCTCACTAATCCGGATTTGATGGGACCAGACTGTCCGGATTAACCGGAAAGCTGAGTTTGGATTCGCGAGGGTCGTGTAATTTGAATAATTTGTATGGTTTATATTATATATAGGAACAATGCATTAATAATACAAAAAAAACTCTATGTTAATGAAATTATTTTTAATGATAAATAACATTTTTGAAGTTATACTTCTTTAGGCGCGTAATGAAAAAATGATGAGAGTGAAATTTTAAGATGCGCGCGCATCACTGTAACACAAAAAATTAACAGCATGAAGTTGGTCGCTTTAGCGACCAACTTCATGCTGTTACTTTTGTGTTTACCGCACATTAAGAAAATCTACCGACAAAATAGAAATAGAATCTCTATTTTGTGGGTGCTAACGACTGCATTATGAAGACCTATCAAAAGTATTTATTAATCTGGAACAACGGAACCAAAGCGCGATTCATTAGACTACAGCGCCATCTCTTGACCATTGGTGTAGTAGAACCAAAAACCACATCTTTATTTTTTGCAATAAAGTAACAAAAAGTATTTATTAATCTGGAACAACGGAACCAAAGCGCGATTCAGGAGACTACAGCGCCATCTCTTGACCATTGGTGTAGTAGAACCAAAAACCACATCTTTATTTTTTGTAATAAAGTAACAGTTAAAGGTATTCATATTTATAATATTTATCCACATGTTTCTAGTTTGTATATTCGGAATACGTGTTTGAGTTTCATACAAGTGCAAATCACATATGTTCTAATAAATTATATTCAGTAGCGATTTTAATTGAATATTTTGATTATTTATTTATTTTTTCAAATTAAAACTGAACTTTATTGACTGTGTCCTTTTCCAGACTTCTTATTAATTTATTGTAATTAATTATTTGAATGCAATTAAAAACTAATTTTAAACGATGCCAAAGAAGGATAACTTCTCACGCGCCTACATAAGTACATGCACCCATTTTTTTATTATATAGGTATAATGAGTTTTGCATATCTAGGTTAAACTTTGAAATTTTAAAGTAAATATTATCACTAAAAATTATAAACATAGATAATGATGTCGATTCTGGCATGATTCTCTTCTTCTTCTTCTTCTTCTTTTATGATGGCTTGCGTTGTGACTTAGCACAGCTCCGCCAATGTCAAGTGATTAGCCATTACACGTAAGGGAATGACAGTTAAAAATCAGAATTTTGTTTACCTATTTTATAAGCACTTTTACCTGTAAAGAAAAACGTCACAATTAGGACAACACAAACATAAAACAAGTAAAAAGCTAAACTTAAATTTGACAACAGTGCATCCTTATCCTTCTCTATACAGAATGAAAAGGTGAGACTGACCTTAAATTTAGTTTTAAGTTTAGAGAATCACGCCAGAATTTGCACCAATGACTAATAATTAAGCAGTTTTGTTTATTATAAGACTTTATATATGTTTGCTCTTAGGAGCTTAAAATTTCAACACACCAGTATTTGATCCCCAACTACAAAAATTGTATAGTCGGACGCGGACACTATATTTTATAGGAGGGTTGGCAACCCTACCTGCAGTCCGAGCGGCGCGGCGCTGGTGAATTCAGAATCTGAATAACCTAAACATTCCGGTAAAGTGTTTGATTCCGAAACCTGCGCGGGCAACCAGTTGCCTGCTGCCACTATGGCCACCCTGCTTTAACTTCACTGTTTATTTCTCGCTCTTGTTTTCTGAGTCTGAATCTGAATCTGCACTGTGGCCGTACCCTATGTGTGTGGAATTTGAACGAGAGGCAGTGGCAACACTGGTTTAAAAAAACATCAAAAAGAAAATGGCCGTGCAAAACGTAGACGCAAAGTCTTTGGCGGAATTTTAGTTTAGTTTGGCGTGGTAGGCATTTTTTTAGATTGAAACTTTGGAAAGAATATCTTAACTCTATTACGTTCCACATAGTTTTCTATCGTTTTAAAGAAGTTTTGTAGTTTGATTTGAGGTAGGATTTTTCTCACATTTTAAAACTTGCTTTTGCTTTGAATTTCAGTGTGATTTATTTTTACGACAGACTATTATATGAATTCGGATAGACTAATGGTGTGTGGTAAATTATTTTTACTTGATTGTGTATTGAAATGTCTGTGCACTACAAATTCAAAAGTGCATTAGATTATGATACCGTCACTTTCGATGGACTGCATATATCAGTAGGAGATCTGAAAGCTGCAATATCACAACAAAAACGCATTGGAAAAACTTCAGATTTTGACCTGCAAATCACGAATGCTCAAACAAAAGAAGGTACTTATCCTTATTAAGGTTAATAATTACAAAAATAACCTTAATTTTGGAGAAAAATGCTATTTCCTCATATTTTGCTAATAAATCATGCTTAAAATCATAGTTTATGAATATGTAAATTATTTTGATTCCAGTTTATGTGGATGATAATACTTTGATTCCCAAAAATACATCTTTACTTGTTGCAAGAGTCCCCCTCTCTCAGCAACCTAAAAAACAGTGGGAAGGTTCAAACAGTGCAACATCTGTACAACATAAAGATGCAGTTGCTAACAAGGGTTTGGCCGATCTATCTCGCATGGAAGGTAGCGAACAGGATAAAATAAATGCTATGATATCACAATCCACTTTTGACTATGATCCTAGCAAGTAAGATTAAATTTGATTTTCATAGAGTATTGTACCATAAGAAACATTTAAAATCAGCATCACTAACTTTCATCAGCTTGTTTGTGCTCACTCCTACAAAGGGATAGAATAGTAAAAGGTGCAAGATATTATAGCTTGATTGAATCTGTGTATTTCATTTAATACAACATCTATGAGCTTCTAATTTATTATTTTCATTGCTTCTGTGTCACAATGTTTTGTACTTTTTTCAAACCATGTTACTTTTATTGCAGTTATCAAAAAATTAGAGGTCAAAATCAAAGAGGAGTGGTGCCTTCAAATTACGTTTGCTATAAATGCCAAAAGCGTGGACATTGGATTAAAGATTGCCCTTTAGCAAATTCTGTAAGCAAATTTTCCCAGGGGGGATCTTTTAGTTTTTGATACTACCTTAACAGACTTAATTAAAGTTAAAAGAAGAGTCATTGAATTTAAATATTATGATTACTAATTAATGGAGTTATGCGAAATAGCCATAATTTTTCTGTGTTAATTTATTTACAAATGGACGAAATGTTAACTCATTTAATTATTCATTTTAGGGAGAGCCTGTCGAAATAAGAAGGAGTACAGGGATACCACGTAGTTTTATGGTACCAGTGGAAGGTCCAAAAGCACCAGGCGCAATGATGACCCCAAGTGGTACCTTTGCTGTGCCAGTTGTAGACCGGTATGTAATTAGTTAATGTGGAGTCTGGGAGTTGTATAACAAGAATGGTAATATTTTTTGGTTGTGTTGTGACTTTTTATCATTAACAGTCATTAAATATTATCATTGCCGTAACAAATGAATTTGTAGTATTTTTATAAAGAATCCCCTTTAAAATTTAAGAAAAAGTGTCAATGTCTAATGTCTTTCCCAACTGCTGTTGTTTTCTGATTGAAAAGTTTGGTCTATTGTTCTAGTGAGGCGTATTTGGCATCTGAGAATGCTGCTGGTGGTGCAGATGCACCCTCTAATGCTCCAGCTGCTCCTGAACCAAACATACCTGATGAGTTAATATGCAGTTTATGTAGAGATTTACTCACAGATGCTGTTATGATACCATGCTGTGGAAATTCTTTTTGCGATGAATGTAATTTTAATTTTATAAATTGATTCTCTATAAATTTTGTAAGATAAAGTAACAAAAACTGACATTAAATGTAAACTTTGTCTTTTAGGTATAAGAGGCGCTTTACTGGAATCTGAAGATCATGAGTGTCCTGACTGTCGCGAGAAAGAGATTGCTCCTACCACTTTGATCCCCAACAGGTTAGGTATCTTTTCTATTTTAAAGTTAATTGTTACTCAATTTTTTCAATAATTTATAATTTAATATCTGATTATTTATTGTTTCAGATTTTTAAGAAATTCAGTGTCTTCATTCCGTAATCAAACTGGGTACAGCAGGAGGGTACCCCACCGCCCAGTTGTTCCACCAATGCAACCACATCCAGTAATAGGTATATGTTTATTTTACTTATATCTTAAGTATATGTTAAATTATGCCTGGACTGCATGAAATGTTTTGTAGGGACATTTTCTTTAGATTTTTATGTCTAGTATAAAGTATAAATGCTTATTATAAAAATATACTATACTATATGTCAATTAGTTACTGCAAATATTGTCATATCTGTACATAGAGCTATGACATGATTATGGAGATTACTGATTAGGATGAATAATAAAAGAATTGGCTCTAGTGCCTCGATGGGTCTATATTTAGGTTGAGTAAGCAGTAGTATGTCTGTAAAATATCCACAAAATATCACATATAGCTGGCTCTGATAAATCAATGACTGCAGGAATTTTTGTTTGTTGGATATCTAATGTATGTTAAAATAGTGTTGTAGCGCAATATTCACTTTATAATGTTATGAATGGCTTTTTTATACTTTTGGGGTTAAGATCAACTTATTAAAAGCCAGCAAGAATACAAATAAGCAGCTTAAAACTCGAAATGCTTGCAGGCATCGCCGCGGTAGGAAAGTTAGTCATGTAAAATGTTTCTTTGCAGAGCCTCCAATGATGCCGGGTCATCCACCACCTAATGCTGCAGGCCAGCAAGGAATGCCTAGTGGGGGTAAATATATGTTCACAAGTATTTTCCTAAAATCTCAAGGGTTTATAATTTCGGGCAGCCATATAATTACGATAGTGATAACAAAATTCACCTCCACTACATCACAGTGAGGCTTTCGGTGCATGTCAATCAGATATTGCAAAATAAGAAATACATTCATACAATGTTAATGTAATATGCCTTTCATGTTTACTTAACTATAGTAGCGGTACGCTATGATGGCCGTTTTTATGTTTGTCCGTCAATGAAGTTCCGTATAAATCAGTACCTAGAACTTATCTTTAAGGAAGTAAATTACTATTGTTTATAGTGACGTGCAGTAAGTCGTAAAATTTATCAAGTATGTAATTTTCCACTGTGTTTTTAAACTTATATTAACCACTAGTTGACCCCGCTTACTTCGTATGGGTTACAATAATTTGGAAGAAATGACGGACACGAGTCTACCGTATCAAAAGGGACGAACGTCAAATGTTTGACAGGAAAGAAGATAGAAGATAGTTTATATGAGTAAATTAAATTGACGTTTTTACTCTCTTCCTCGCAATTTTTACCATATTTTCTCACCTTGTAAAACTTCCCTAGACCTCCACGAACATTTCAAGACCAAAATCAGCTAAATCGGCCTAGCCGTACTCAATTTTTAGCGAGACTAACGGACAGCAATTGATTTTTGTATATATAGATAATAGTGAGCGCGTATGTTTTTACTTTTACACTTTACACTGCGGAGAGTCGCGTGCATAATTGGTAAAATGTGAAAACGGCCATCATAGCGTGCTGCAACTAAAAGCGCCATAGAGCAACTCGGAATGGCTATTTTTTGAGGGGGGGAGGGGTATATGCACACCTTTTTGAATTATACGCATGTACGTTAAACACATATGTAGCTTAACGTACATGCGTAAAATTCGAAACTGTAATTACGACACAAACATGCGATAATACACTCCCAAATCCTACATATATATATCATTTGTATGACCAATTCGACAAAGGGGAAAGTTGCGTATGCTTACTTCCCTCCTGTATCCATAGTGCTGTATGTTAAGCGCCTGTATACGGGCGTGTGATTGTTGGACGGCGCGGCAGAGGGGGAGAGGAGGAGAGGGCTTTAATAAATCACGCAAACCAATCGTTCAAAAAGATTTATCAAGTAACGAAATTTAGTTAACTGTATTGCCAAATACAGTTAACAGCTACAGCTCTTTTTTGAGAAATGACGATGAGGGAACCCCCCCTCTTGTAGTTCTGTCCCGGAAAGAGGGGGGCGGCGGAGGGAGCTACACGGGCACCCCAAGTAGCATTCCGCTCGCAGCGGACGGAGCTACACGGGCACCCCAAGTAGCCTTCCGCAGCGGACGGGGGACGGTACGGTGGGCACTAGGCCGCGTACTCAGCTCCCACGCGCGGGCCTTCCTGCGCGCGTCTGCGGAGTCCCCGCGATACCCCGGGAGACCCCCCTGCCGTGCCGTATGACATTAATAGACTGACGACGAAGCCTTATAAGATCTTTAAAAAAATCTAAAAATATGATCATTCAATTGATTAATTCATTTTGATAAGGCTCTATGAATGCCCATCAGTAAACTGACTATGGTCAGACTTACCAAATTATTATTTTACGTTAGGTCTGAATTCGTTTGAAACAGAGTAAAGGATCTTGAACCTTCTAATTATCATATCTCTGCACATTTCAATAGCTTCGGCTCTATGCCACAAAGCATTTGTTAAACATAGGTAGAAACTTTCAAATAATCGCCAGTACAAAACAATTTATTAATTTTATCATTAAGCGAAGAAAAACTAAACTCAGAATTTTTATTGTCATATAACATCCCGCTAACTCCAGAGTTTACGGAAACATTATCCTCGTAACGTATCGCATTAAAATTAGAATGCGTAATATATTTTTTTCTACTTAACCATCTCCTTGGTTAACTTTTCAAGTACCTCATTAGAAAGTCGGTTACTTTTTTTTTATGCCGGTGACGCTTAAAACGTTTGCGTTACGGAAGTACGGAACAATTGCTTCAGAACAAGAACTTGTAGTATCCACTTGTAGTAAAGTCACCAGTAGCTTTATTATCATTTATAAGTTAAGATAAAATTCCATCGTTATAACTGAAATGGGAAAGAGTTAACACAATTGTTTGATCATAAAAAAAATGTATGCAGCAAATTCTGTAAAATAAATATGCCACACTAAAAACATAACATTTCCGTGAACTATAAAAGCCAATGACGGCCATCTTTAAATGAATATCGAATTTTAAAACCATTAAAGATAAGAGGCTGTTATTATTTGGTACTTACAAAGAAAGATTACATATTCAGTACACAATAAACAAAAACGCAATTAACATAAGTAGTATCAATGAGTTTATACTAAAACAAAAAGGAATTTGCTAAGAAATCATAAAAATCGAATGGTAAAACCGTTATGAAAATAAGAGTTCAGCCATCGAATTGTCCGTTATTTTACCTTTTTCTATTTTTAATACTTATTTACACTTGAGGGTGGAAATGTTAGTAAGTATTTAGTATAACGTGTGCTCTGCACAAATGATAGACGGAAAATGAGACGCCAATGATTCAAAATGGCGAGCGCGCAAACACCACAATACATACAAGAGCAGTACTCTGACTTCATACTAGAGCCTAAATTGACGCACGTACACAGTCAAACGTCATTTACACGGCCGCTAAATAATCTTGGCAAGACAAATCCACGCAGTGGCACGTCGCGCGTCGCTGAGACTGGTCGTTGGCCGAGTTAAGTTAGCTGCCTGCGCCGCGCCGTCTGCCACCGTTTCGATTCCGTAACGTGGCAATAGTAACTATACACATACAATAAAAATCTACACAAATCTGTTTTACATTTTATACGTACCAACCTTAGCGCTCCGCTTAGTCGTAGGTATCTATTTCAAGAAAACGGCTGAGTTACGCTACTGCTCTTGTATGTATTGTGTCAACACGTAAGCGCGTCTCCCCACCCCCGGTGATGGCGGGAGGTCCACCGGAAGTGAACCAAATAAGACAGTAGTCGACGGAAATCGAAGTGCCTATCTCATAATAAGCTTCGAGTTACGGTCAAGTGGTTTAATTACCTGTTTTTAATATTAATATTGTCATTTCCGGAAAGACACAAAATTTAGCGAAAATGGAATTCCGAAGCTGGGCGGCGCCGGCGCGAAGGAGGAATCTGACGGTTTTTAATTAACTATAGTAGCAGCACACTATGATGGCCGTTTTTACATCCGTCCACGAAGTTGCTTATAACTCTTAAAATAGTAAATTAGTATTATCAATATTTACGTGCAGTTAGTTAGTTGTAAATTTTAGCGAATTTAAGTGTACTTTTGTAATGTGTCAGAATGTTTATCAACCATAAGAAGTGAGCACACAAGTTTTTACTTTTATATCTTTTTAGGTTGTGGAGAAATTATCACATAATTTGTAATTCCAAAGTGGTCATAACAACGTGCCGCGGCTATAAGCGCGTAGGCGCAGGTTCAACGGGCGCGTGAATTTTTAATTTGTCAAAACGGACAAACTAGCGTGCCGCAACTATAAGCTAGGGTTACCAGATCGAAAAGTCAATGTCGGGATTTTGGGATTATTGTCGGGAGAATACACCGCCTAGCCAACGTCTCATGTCCTAAAGGTAAACGAAAAGTGCTTCGTTTGTCGGGAGGTTTCGTTATTTGTTGGGAGTTTCGAGATTACATAAAATGTGGGGGGCATTCAGACGATTCCCGACCATGTAGCAAATTTACTATAAGCGGTTATAAACGGGCGTGTGATTAGATTCGGACAGGCCGGGCGGCGCGGCAGACGAGTCTGACTGCTCAGACGACAACATTACGGTGACGGTGCCGCCGGCTCACGCTCATCGCCCCACTGGCCCTGCTGGCCCTACTGGCCCCGGCCCCGACCCGGTGGGGCCCGCTGGCCACTCCCGGCGTCCCCCAGGTCCGCACTCTCGCCGACCCGACATGCATCGAACGCCGCGCTACGGTACTACACCACTCGAGACTAGATTGCCGCATGCTGTCACGCTCTTCGTACAATGAATAAAGCTCAATATATTACCTAAATGCTGTCACGCCTTCGTACAATGTTTAATACTACAAGCTTGCTACTCGTATTATCAACACATTAGACTACTCTAAGTATCGATGCATTAAGGTCATAGCGCTCCTGATTAACCCGGCACCCGACCAGCACCGCGGCGCGGCGGGCGCGGTTGATATTTTTGTATGGATTTCTATGGTCATATACCAACTCCGTACCGTCATTGCCTCACCTCGCTCGCAAGCAGTTCGTGCACGGGCGGCGGATGGACACAACGGTTACCACTAGCTGCTCGCACGCGAGAACCAACCAACCAGTGTCGTACCAACGCACTGTGTCCATGTGTCATCCGTGGCCGACCCGACGTATGCTGGTTGAAAGCGCGGCGTCCACGAGTGGCTGCCGCGCGCGCCGAGACGGTACTGGCCGGGTGCCGGACGGGTCAAGTGCGCTATGGCTTTTATAATAAAACGCAATAGACTGGTAGAGTCTGTGCGGAAAGAGAATGGGCGTGGCGAAAAACGGAACTAACATCAAGATTTTTATTTGGCAATCAAACCCAGCAATCTGCAAAACGTCAAAGTTTTGTATTGATACGGATTTGTTTGTTGTTGTGATTTCTTGCGGTTTTTTGTATTTAATCATGTCTAAAAGGGGTAAAACCTTACAAATACGGTAGAAAAGCACTACAGCGCCCTCCAATCTAAATCCCATTCTCTTTCCGCACAGACTCTACTATACTACTCGTACTCTACTCTATAACAATATAATTATATGTAAGTTTAATGCTGTCACGCCCTTCTTACAATGTGTAAAAAGTCAAAGTTCGCTGCATCGACCAAATCGTATTACTGTAGGCACTGCTCTCAGTATCGATGTACCCCAGTAGACTTTGATACTACACTACCCGGGAATATAGATTGCCGCATGCTGTCACGCCCTTTGTACAATGTATCAATATGATAGGATACTGCAATGCTGTCAAGGCCTTTGAACACAATATTTTATGTACACCCATTCTTTAAAACCTTTATTAAAAATTCTAAAACAATTAGCTTATTGCCAACATTAAAACATTTAATGTGATAATAAAAAAAACATAACACCAGTTTGGGTTTTATTATACATAAAATCTCCTTCCTTTTTTAAATCCCTTTCACGCTATGGGCTTACTCATCAGACAGCCACATTATCGATGCTCAGTGCGTGGTATTATGAATTGCAAAAAAAGCACATTTTCGTTCACGCGCGAGTCACTACCACAGCGCCGAAACTTTTGATGAATTTTAAGTTCTTGGAACGCCCCATGGTTTCAGAATCTTTTATAGAGGATTCATATTACGGGTTTAAATAAAGTCTTGTATGTAACTGTTAATAATTAGGTATTAAAACACTCATGTGCCATTATAACACTCGGCTGCGCTTCGTGTGATAAATACTTAATAAATGCAATTGTTGCATAAATAACTATAATACTTCAAGCTCCCTGCATCGACGCACTTCGTATTACTAAGTAAGACTGGTACAACACTACTCGAGCTCGAGACTAGATTGCCGCATGCTAACATGTTCTTCGTACAATATATTATTATGATATACAGTAGAACCCGTTTAATACGATCACGCTTAAAACGATTTCTCGCATAATACTCCATTTTGCGTCAGTCTCTGCAACTTGAGACATGTTTTCATAACGCTTAACCTCTCAACACGCAAAGTGAAATTTGATACCTGTCATCATACGTTATACATATACGAAATGGCGGCTCAAAACAAAATGGCTCCGGCTCGATAAAAACAAATATATTACGCTGTAGCCAAACCATTAATTACCATTGCTTGAACGAGAATTTATTAATTGATAAATTTTCTTTCAGTCAGGTACAAATATTAAGGCAATTATCAATACATTTTTTTTGAGATGCCCAAAGTTTACACTACGTTACGCATTTTACGATTTAAATTAAATGGGCTTCACTGTTTAAATATCAGGGATGTAACGGAGGTAAATTTATCGGAACCGTAGTCGGAATCGGAGTTGTTAAATTTGATTTATCGGAGTCGGAGGCAGAGTCACAAGAGCGATATTTTTAATTTAAAAACAAATAAAAACATCATTCAGTCAACCTTCTTTCATTTTCATTATAAAATAACCATTTTTCATTTAAATTTACTTATTATTAACACAGACCCCCAACGCGACGGGTATGACCAGTTTGTATCGGTCGACGCATGCCGCCGTCGATATTTGCTATGCTTTGACCTCCGATTAAAACCTCTGATTTAAAAGTTTCGGAGCCGAAGTCGGAACCGAAGGTGTAATAATAATCGGAAGTTCCGCCTTATCGGAATCCGAATCGAAGCTCTGTATAATGCGATTCAACTAAGAATAGGATCGACGGGGTGCCATATTGTGACGTCATAGCTGTCAATTCAAACGATAAAGGTAGAGTGAGCAAAAAAGATTTTATTTAATAAAATTTATTTACTAAAATTGAGAAAAGAAAATTACCGATTTTTAATAATATTTATTTATTAAGACTGCGAGAAAAAACATTAATCAGAATTAAGCTCTTCAATTCCGCTCATCTCTGCATTACCGCCAGAGTAGTTATGAATAATCATGCACTATTACTAAGTCACATACGAACATGCATCCTATATGTAAACCAAGGTTTTAAATCAAGTTTGTGAATGCAACTTAAAGTGACATTTGGTTGACGATTTAGGTTATCAAACATTCATAGCCAAAGCTCAATAAATGAAAATAAAATATCAACCAATATTAATTAACAATATTTGTTATTGTTTGTTGACAAATGTTTGATTTTTATTCCATAATTAGCCGAGTGCTAATAAAGGGTTCCAAGATTTTTTTGCAAGCCGTACTTTTCAAGCGATATTTTACAGATGGAGGTCATTGGCTTTCCTATTCTTATTTGAATCGCATTATAACATCCCTGATATTTATATGTATATACTTATTATGATATATATACTTCAATGCTCTCACGCCCTTTGTTCAATTTATAATATGTATTCCAAGCTCCCTGTATCGACGCACTTCGTATAACCCAAACAGTTTGACACTACTCTCAGTATGCATTATAATAAGATGCGTTAGTCACTTCACTCCTCTAGAATATAGATCGCCGCTTGCTGTCACGCTATTCGTAAAATGAATAAAACAGTTGCAATCAATCGAATTACTTACACAGTACTCGAAATACCGATGCATCGATTTAATCACAGAGCATTCTTACTAGAGACCTCATACAAAAACATCCGCTTGTGCTTAAGCGTGCAACTAGTACCAAACAAATTTTAACCTAATTTGTAATGCGACCGTCACGCACGTTGGCGTGTCCAATCAGAACGGGGGTCACACTCCCCGTAAGTTAGTAACTTAGGCGAATTCCATTATAAATAAAGTTTTAGAAATGAGGCCTCTAGTGAGGATGCTCTGTTATTATAATATGTAACGTAGTAGGCTCTCAACGTAAACATACTCAAAGATTTTTATTTCTGAAGAAAATAATAAATGAAATTATACTCAAAGAGATTTATTAAAGGATAATGAAAACAAAAAAATCCATTTATATCACCACAAATTGTTCCAATAAGCTTTTTGTATTAATTAAATAAGTACTTTTTGCTTTTGCTTCATAGGCATGAATATATCAATAAGGTGCAGGTGGTAAGTTATAAGTAGGTGGTGGTGAATATTTGTTTCGTTCGTAACTGGCTAGTAGCTTTTACATATAATCCGACGCAACGATTATTAGATTTCTTAGTGGTCTGTGTCTTTTTATTTAAACTTTGAGACCTCTCTATGTAGTTGATACATTTTTGTCTCTCCAGTAATTTTTTTTTATATTGTTTGTCTCATAAAGCTATAGGATGAATTAAGGCTCTGATAGTTGATTTATGATTGCTGAATATGACTTTTAATTTTATCTATTTTAGGACCTCCAGTAGGCTTGAAGCCTCCAGGGTTAGACACTCCACCCAATCTACACAATGTAAGTATTGTATTTAATATGGTAAAGTGATTGTACATGTTGTGATTCTTTGACTTAAATTTTTACTATATTTTAGCCACCAATGCAAAGAATCGACGAGCAAAGAGCCAGTACCCCAACGATAGATGAAAGGAGAGATCCATTATCATCACAGGTATGTTAAACTTTCGTATCTAGTATAACATACTGTTTTGTTTTCGAATCATATGGTTAATGTGTACATTGTTTTTTAGGTTGTTTACAATCGCGGACCCCCACCCCCTTTTATGGCTGGTGGACCACCACCATCACGGCGTTATAACAAGTAATTATTTATACTTTTGTTTGGTTTATTAACTTTAGTTTATTACATTTATAAATAATGACATAAACAAGCTGTCGACCAATAAGTTATTTCGCTTTATCGACTAGACACATTTTTGTTGCACAAAAATTAAATTGCTGACCAGTTAAAACTACGGCGAAACATTGTTTTACTAAAGGACATCGACGAAATCGGCCTCAGCATGCCCAAGAGAATGTCCTTCACTTTTATTTTTCTATATTTTTTTAACTTATTAGCAATTAACCATAATAAACGGACAATCTCCTTAAAAAATAAAAAAAACGTTCTGTTACTAGATACTACAGTCTGTTCATCCTAACTTGTCCTATTTGGTAAACAATCTTGGCACTCCTTTTTATTGAAAATACAGCATTAAAAATCAACTGATAACTGGATTCAATAGGTTTCAGTCTATAATAACGATTTATTTTAATAGTTTATTTATTGGCTTTGTTATTATTTTATTTTTAAATCGGTGATTTTGTTAAAAAGTTGTGCCAAGATTGTTTACCTTAATAAATGCAATATAGGCGACCAAAGGTATTTATCAACATAAGAATAGAACTAGGTACCTTAGTTAATAATACTTATCACTAGTATTTATTATATTTATAAAAGGATTATTTCTGAAATTATGTAAAGATAGTTTATACTCCCATTCCATATAATATCTGTTTATTTTTATGAAAATCATAATGATAACCAGGTACATACCTAATTACCAATAGTAAAATATAGAAACAGGTAAATGGAAAGACTTTGAACATTTCATTTGAAAAGAAATCTATTACTACAACAGGTAGGTATAGGTATCATAGGTGCCAACTGCCAACACTCATAAATCAATATGAATATAAGCATTTATTATTTTTATTATTAATTGATTTTTATGTTCATTTAATGCATATTATTTAAGTGCTTATATAGAGGTAAACACTAAATCTATTCAGAATATATAAAGTATACATCTTTTGCGATTAAGTATAATAATTATAACCTCAAAATCTAATACATTCTGCGGTACGACACGGTTCCTCAAGTTGTCCGTATCTCAACAAATACCTAATGAGAGTTTATGAATGATTCCGAATACAACTAGCATTTTCTCATTGCTGTGCGTTCTAGGGCATTCAATGTATGGGGAACGAGCAATGTCCTTTGTCATCTGATCTTTTCGTCACACTGATGTGTCCAATCCAAATAAGGCTTATCACACCCCCCACGCCCTAACTTTGACGATTTGAAACAAACATTGCGAACTCTAGTGAGCGTGCTTTGTATTTAATTTTACAAATGGAGATTGTATTTTTTTATAGTCCTCCGGCGCCATACGGGCGACACGGTCCGCATCCTCACGGACCGGCGCCGCCCTTCAACGAGCGATATTTGCCTTCGGAACCGTACCAGCCTCGACCACCGGGCGTTAAAGATTCGCCTACTAATGGGTGAGTTTATTGACTAACTCTAGGCAAAACATACCGAGCCTATCTGGGATTACATCTTAATTAATTTATATAAGAGCTTAGACCAAGTAAAAAAGTTACTTAATTTATTTATGTATAAATTCTTGAAGGTTTTTTGTTATTATTGAAAATATTCAATACGCACTCCATTCGACAGTCTATTTTGAGTCATTCGAAGTTAAATATATTTCGCCTAAGTTATTTAGGCGCGTAGTGACAATATGGTAGGCCACTAGGCATAATGTTCGCACCCACCGCTTCGTTCGTGTCGTCCTTCTCCCGCATCGTACCAGTAGCATTGATCTAACCGGTGGCATGTTTGTCGTAGGCACGACGACGATCCACTGGAGGCGTTCAACCGGATGATTCGCGAGAAGGAGATGCGAGCGAAGCGGCGCGAGGAGGAGCGGCGTCGGGCGCACTCAGGGTCGCAGTCACGTTCGCGCTCGCCGCGCTCGCCTCGCTCGGTGCGCTCGCCGCGCTCACCGCGCTCGCCGCGCCCGCCGCGCTCCCCACGCTCGCCCCGCTCACCGCGCGTACAGCGCTCGCCGCGCTCACCGTTGCCGCGCTCGCCGTTACCGCGCTCGCCTCGCGCGCGCCCCCGTAGCCGTGCCTCAAGTCGGCCCCGTTACTCTAGGTTCGTTGCTACTGTAGCTAACTGTAAGCCTGCTTAACTGCATGTTATATCATATTCTAGCATGAAAGTGTCGTAAACTCGCTAGTTGTTGTACTCTCCATGTCATACGCTATATTTATCCGGTGAAGGGTTGCAAACACCGAAATATTGATCACTGTAAATGTATCTTATTTAGCTGTGTGTTTGATCGACAGATCGCGATCGTTGTCGCGTGGTAGAATGCGTCGGTCGCCTTGGTCGCCGAGACGTCGGCGTAGCCGCGAGAGAACTTTATCGTTGACCAGGTAAGGGTTTATGAACGTGTGTCGTATGTTTTGTTGCGTAAGTATTATGTTTGAAGATGTTTTGATTGAAAATTGTTTTATATAGGTCGCCATCGCCGCGCCGCCGCCACCGTTCACCGCTGCGCTACCGTTCGCCGCTGCGCTCGCCGTTGCGTTCCCCGCCGCGCTCGGCACCGCGTTCCCCGCCGCGTTCGCCGCCGCGCTCGCCGCTGCGAACCCCACTACGGTCGCCGCCGCGTTCACCGCTGCGTTCACCGCGGCGGTCGGCGATGCGATCACCGCCACCCAGAGCTTTATCACCTCATCGGTCAGTTATATTTCCTAGATGCTTTAAACACACTTCCTAAAACTTTTTTAATGAACAACGTTTGCACCCACGAAAAAGTGTGACAGTGAAACGTGTGGCTTGGGCGATAAATATATAATATGATATGCGTTACATACTGTACACACTACAATGTCACGAGTCACGTTATACGACGTCATCTCAAGTTCAACATTCTGCGGTGTGTGTAAGGTCTCGACTTTACTTTGTGTGTAGTGTGTAGGTTCTTCGAACCTGACTCGCCTCTTCCAGAGTATATGACTCACATCTGGGATGAGGCTATCGACAAGCGGGACGAGTCGTTAACTATTCGACAGGGTCTGCTACAAAAGACTTCTCTACAAGCTTCCGCCATTCTTCCTGCATGAACGTAGAATTTGTGTCTTTGCCGATGGTAGTAGTTCGCAGTTCATGTCAGTGAACGCCGGCGTGCCTCAGGGTTCCGTTTTACCTCCTACACATTTTCTGCTGCATATCAATGTTTAATTTCCCTGGGGAATATTCATTGCTATGCAGACGATAGTACAGTGCATGCCGAATATTTTGGACACGCAGCGGCTTTACGGGTAGATGCCAAAAAGAAACGGGAGAATCTTGTAATTGAACTCAATCAGGCTCTGAACCACATTTCCGAAAGCGATATAAAAAATGGCATGATAAAAACAGGCTCACACGGAGTCCTCAATAAGCTGCGGTGTTTTTTCACGACTGATCAGTGCTTGTTGTGTAGACTGAGGAATTATTCTCACTGATCTCATTTCCCCTTTTCTTCATAGGACCACGTGCGTTGGCCTACTTTGTCACCGAGTAATTTGGCCAATATTCCAATAGAAAAGAAATTTGTTCACCCATTTCTTTGTTGCACGATCCGCAAATGGAATGCTTTCCCCGCTCACGTGTTCCCTCCTTCTTATGACCAGGGACCTTTTAATAGTGGCTCTATCTCTAATATATAAAATTCCTGTGTCTCGGTGTGCGTAATTGAACTTCTCCGAAACGGCTTGACCGATTTTCGTGAAATTTTATATGCATATTCAGTAGGTCTGAGAATCGGACAACATCTATAGTTACATCCCCCTAACCCTTAAATTTTCTTTTTGGACATTTTTTTTTGTTTTTATTTTTTTATGATACATCATTCAAAAATACATACAACCCTAAATTTTCACTCTTCTACCACAAACCCCTATTTTTTTTTATGGCGGTACGAAGTTCGCTGGGACAGCTAGTAGGCTATAATATTTTTGTCAACTGATTAAAATAGATTTTTTCTTGTCTAACACAGGTATGCTGGAGTTTACGATGAAATGTTGTCGCCGCCGCCACCTCGTAATATTGAGCCGCCGTATGGACCCAGGTACGATTGTAAAAACCTAACTAGCGACCACGTGCACCTTTTATCGCCGTCTCGTATCAAAATGCATATGATCCTTGGCGTAAACATGTTATATTGCGGATTGAACTTGTGCTTGCGGTCAAAGTGTCTGAAATTCACGTTATAATAAATAGCGGACTCCAACATTTTTCATACGATTTTTTTTAACATGTTGACTTATTCAGTGCTGTTTATGTATTACATTATACTTAATTTTTAAGTGACGATGTAAAACATTTGTCGGTTTCTTTGTATGACTGTCTTGTTGTAAGCTCCAGTTTAGCTTTGCTACGGTGAGTATGGTACGAAAGAAATATCGCCCTTTAAACTACGTCGACGTGCAACTGATACATCGAGTTTACATCGGAGGTGTGATAGTGGTTATTTCAATTACTTTACTGATTGTAAATAAACATTGGTAAATATTAAGATCGTACATGTGTTTAAAAAATAATGTATTTTCTGTACTTAATTTCCCTATTAATAAATGAAGAATAAGCTTGTATTAGTTACTCCATGTTTTGTTTTTGTTCATTGAATGACAAATGGTATTTTTGTGACATGAACAAAACACGGCGTAATTAGTCTAAGCTTATTACTTGTTTTTCAATAAGAGGGAATAAGTTTAAAATAGATATAACCTCATTCCTCCTAGTAGATTTTTTTGTTGACTTGTGCCTGGAGTTAACAATATATTTTATAATATTATTAAAATTTTAATAAAATTTCTTCACTCCAGGCCGAGTCAACAAAAAATCTTTATGCTTTATATAAAATGTGAATATATAATGTATTATATTATTTGAGTATTAATGAAAGCAGCAGAAAGACTGATAAATAATATAGCATAATTAAAAAAAATATGCAATGTTTTTAAATATTGTATGACTTGGTAACTTGTGTTTGAAGTCAACATATTTTTTAATATATTTTTCGCATTTGTTATTTATTTGCAACCATGAAATGGATTACACGATTAATCATAGAAATGTTCTGAAGATATAGATATTATTTAAGAATTTCAGAGGGAGGTTCATTGAAAATTATTTATTAATTTAAGAAAAACAAGATGCATATATTAATTCGAATGAAACAATAAACTCCAATTAAAAACCAATTAAAAAAAAAGAAAACCTCTAATCTTTAGGGTAATTTCGTCGACGTCTTCAAATCAGTAATTAGGACAATAGCTCCAATCTTAACTGACATATTTAATCAGTGTATTGACTGTCGTGTTGTTCCTGATCTCATAAAACACATCAAAATAACTCCATTATATAAATCTTGTAGCACATCTGACTCAACTAACTTTAGACCTATAGAGTCAAGTGACGCTTTAGGTGTCTTTTGTGATTTATACAAGGTTTTTGTTTGCGTTTTTCATGAAACATTAATCAGGAAACTGCGCCACTATGGATTTAAAGGTATCTAGAGATTTGACATCAGTGGCAAATCATCTCCCAGCTCATTAGTAAAAATGGGTGTTCCTCAGGGCTCAATTCTTGGTCCACTCTTGTTTTTAATTTATATAAATTACTTACCTTTGTAAGGGAAAATGACGAGATAGAATTGTTTGCAATTGATACTTCACTTTTGTTTAAAATTGAACGAAAGCAACCACTTATTGACGATGTGAACAATGCCATCTCTGAAGTAGTTCAGTGGTTTAATGCTAATAGTAAAAGTAAATGTTTCAAATTCTTATCACTCAATGTAAATCATACACAAACCAATGTAACTTGTATAAGGAATAATAATTAGACCTGGTGGATACTACAGTAGTTTAAGGCATTATACTAGATTCGAAGCTTCGGTAGGGCCGACATATTCAGAAATTGTCGAAGGTACTTAGCACTGCAGCGTACGCAATAATGGAGATACGCCAATTAACTGACGTAGTGACCGCTCGATTAGGTTTTTTTTAATTATTTTCATAGTTTGATTTCGTACGGTATTTTGTTGTGGAGAAATGCTGCCGACATTCAAACTATTTTGTGTTGCAGGAGCGGGCTGTTCGATCAATTTACAATCTTAGAGACATGATACTCTTGAAAGAGAAAAATAAATAAGAAATAGATATAATGGTAGTTGCGTCACAGTATATTTTAGAAAATTTAATAATATAAACACTCGCTTAATACTAGAAATAAAAATAAATTAGCTGTACCGATTACTAGGCTCCACAAAATTAATAATTCATTTAAAGTTCTTTAACATATCCAACAATTGAGCGTCAATAAATTTAAAGATACTTTTAAAAAAGTTCTCATGAATAAAGAGTATTATAATGTGTTTGATTATGTTTCATACTAAAATGTTTGGGCTTAAACTGTTCCAAACATTCAAACAGGCTGTTTCTATAATTTTGTAATTGACACAGTAACAATATAGTATTTTGTAAATATTGTTACATAATTTGGAGCTGTGAAAATTTATTGGTCCGTTTTTCTCCACAGCAAAAAATGACTAATGGGTGGTAGGGAAAATTTATGGACGATTCAAAAGAGTTGTATTATGTTTCCTATTTGAATAAAGATATTTTGAATTGAATTTATGAAAGAAGCAAAATAAGACTGATTAAAATGAAGATATGTAATTATAATTAATCTGTACGTGTGTCAAGAAAAAATTGAGGTGTCATCGATAGATTTCGCACCTTTAATAAAGTACGTAAATGCTTATAAAACTTAAAATTTGTATCGGAACTGTTCTATATACCACAGTTCTTTCGATATTCTGAATGTTTATCAGATTGTTCATTCAAGTGTGATATACGCTATTTTGCTTTGAAAAAATATTGTTTCCCAATATGTTTTAGACGTATTTGTAGAAAACCAGGAACACAGAATGCTAACAACTTACGTCCTATTTTCTATATTTAGTTAAAGCTAAGGTTACCATAATTAACTTATTATTATCAAGCAACTGTTGCAGTTTTTAAATATTACAATTTTAGTCTAGATGAATAGTATTAGTATCTGTGATAATAATTTCTATGTATGAATTTATATGTTAATAGTGATAGTTGCTAGAAGATGTGGGATTACTATTTGTATTCAATGTTTCCATTTTAGTTGGAAAAGTAGCAATTTTAAAGACATTCTGTGGTTAAACAGTATTTATTTGTATAAATTAATAATATTCTTAGGCGCAATGTCCACGAGCCAGAGATTCGCGGCTGTAATTGTAGTCGTGACACGTGTTTTGATATACAAATAAAAAATATAGAAATACATTTTAGGAATTAAAGAAAAATAGGTAGTAGTAATAGAAATTGTAATTTTGAGAAGGAAGCTCTCTACATTTTCAAATCCTATGACACATGGGATTTAAACTCTAGTCAGATAAAATGGTGAAGCGGCACGGAAGGGAGTACACAACCGCGAGACAGTAACTAAAATGCAGTATATAATAGCACCTAAGCGATACTTACTATAGAGACTCTCTCAGCGCGAAGGGCGTGGTTTTGCCCCCGGTGTGGGCTGTGTTGCTGCTAGCCAGCTAGTTCACATATGTTGATTCATTATTTTGCTCCCGGTGTGGACTGTGTTGCTGCTAGCCAGCTAGTTCACTTATGTTGATTCACTAGCTAACAAGTCCACACGCCATTGATTTGCGGACAAAAAAGCCAGGCTTTACTTTCTTAGTAGCATATTTACCATTTGCTAGATAGCTAGTCAATCTGACAACAAACATTGAATCTAGTTGTATTGACTGGATAGTAGGTACCTAATATACTCGTTCAATGTCCACTACGCTTGAATGGGGCGCCGCCGCAATTACACTTGGTCTCTTAGCCCGAATACGAGTGCCAATGTAATTCGGGTAAACGACTAAGTGTAAATGAACGGATTCGAGTACGTCAGTAATTGGGTAGATTTCCTTTTGTTTATCTGACACCGTCTTTCAGTTCGTATTTTAGTGTAAATATTGATTCGGGTGCCCGAATTCGAGTAATGTCTTTCGTGCACCCGAATAGGGGCTACCGACCAAATGTAATTGCGGCATAAAGACGTCAAGTCTGCCATTTGTACGCTTATTTGTGCGTTATGTTAAAATAAATAATGATGATTACTTGCTAAGTACTATTGTGATTTTATTTGAATGCTTAAATGATTGTTTCATTTAAGTATTCAAATAAAATCACAATAATTTAAAGTTGATGCAGTCGATTTCTTTCCCATAATAATAGAATAAGGCAACATGTCACATTGACTAGCATAAAAAATTGAAATCCTGAGTGCGGCCGTTATTTTTAATTTTTTTTCTTGTTATGAAGCCAGAATTAAAAAATATATAAGGGAATCGTTCTTTCCCTGAGTGTAATATTAAGTCAAAGCTCATTTCTGATAAGTATTTATGACTTTTTTAATATTGGGCAAATCTTTTTACTATTCGCCTATTAACATATGAGATACAATGTATAGTACATATAAACCTTAAATAAAAAAATATTTTACTGATGCTTAAAACCCATAAAAATCCACCTTGCTTTCGTTAAACAGTCAAACGTACGTTTGTGTGATTTAAAAAAAATAGCTTTTACTTAAACAAAATATATGTATGCATTTGACTAAGGAGTTTAATTTGATGAAAATGTATTTGTACTTATTGCTTTAAAAAATTATCCTTCTATAGCGTGCTTTTAACACTGGATTAATGTGGAGATTACCCATCGTCCATTTTTGTTAGCATTTTTTGCTAAATGCTAATTAATAATAATAAATTAATAATTTATTAATTTTTGTTACATCCTTTGACTTTTATTTATTTGATGCGATGTAAAATGTATTTTTGTTATTGTGGACCCTTTTTATATGTTGTATTTTCAGCATGTTTCACCAGTTTCAAGGTATCTACTGTCTTTTTAACTTCATCGATTGTAACCTATTTAACTGACATATTTGAAGGGGTCAGGAAAAAAACAGCTTTTGTCACTTAACGACTATGGACAACGGATATTTCTTTTGCCTCCTCTACAC